GCGCAGGGCAGGGGCGCTGAATCCAAGGCCTCTGGAGGGCGCCAGGTTGTGGACGGAGGCGGAAAAGTGGCTGACGACCGGCAGCCCTCCCTGGGGGGGAACCGGCGGCCAGTCCTGCTCTGGGACTTTCTGGGGCACCCGGGGAGGGGGCACGTGCCGCTCCCCTCAACGAGAGCCAGGCCGGGCCAGGAAGCCTACCGGCCTGGCATCCTCGGGGCAAGGGAAGCTGGACTCCTCTTGCGTCAGAATCCGTGCCTGTCCTGGGCCATCTTGGACGGCTGTCAAGTTTGTTCCGGCCAAAGTTTTTGAGTTCCCCCTGCCAGGATAAACCGGGAACCAGGCAGCTGCTTTCCGCAGCAGAACGCAACTGGAAGCGACGGCCGGGACCCCCACCACAGGGATGTCGCCCCCCACCCCTAGCTGGAGGCTGGAGCCCAAACGGCCTTCCGAGGATCTGGCTTGCCCCCCAGGAACCTCACGCCAAATGGCAGACGGTTTAGGGCAGAGACCCCGCAGGACTCAGGCCAGGCAGCCGGTCCGGCCTACGCTGGACTGTGGGGTGCTGCAATTAGACACCGGGCCAAAGCACTCTGCACGTCCTCAGAGGCCAGGGCCTAAGAGACTGTGAGTCCCCATGCTCCAAAGCCGAAGCCCCGAGGTGGGTGGCTTGAGGCTGTCTCCCCCTGAGAAAAGCCCTGGGTGCTCCAGGCCGGCCTGGAGCCAGAGTGAGGAGTCGCAACCCCACAGAGATGTGGGGAAACCAAACACGGGGAGGGGGGAGGGGGAGGAGCCGCTTTCTGGGAAGAGCGAGGGATGGCGTCACCGTCCACACGCTCCCCCAGCCGGCTCTGCAAACACGCCGGTGGAATTCGCTCCCTGAATTTTGGCTCTGGCTCCCGCTCTGTCACTGATTAATTGGGATGTCGATTGCCCCTCGCCGCCTGCCCCCACCCCTCGGACGCCTACAGGGGCAAAGAGCAAACATACAAGCCCTCCCCCCCGCCTGTGCTTGGCACGGGTCACGGCCGCGACCAGGCTCGGCCTGGCAAGGGACCGTGCCCACCGTCCGTTTCTAGAAGGGGCCGGGGAAAGCCCTCCCTGGAGCAGGCCGGGCTTGCAATGAGAGCAGAGACGCAGCATCCCGCTGTGGCCGCGTTGCAGAGAGGCACGGGGTCTCAGCAGAGGAAAGAGGCCGCCCACTGTGGCCGCGAGAACAGGCGGCGATTCCCGGCCTCGTTCGTCCAAGGCGTGGCGTGGCGGCTGCTCCCAGCCAGCGAGGGGAGATGCTGGGCTGCTTCCGTGCCCCCGTCCAGCCCCCACCCAATGCGGGCCTCGCAGACGGAGGCCCCGCAGGCCTCTGCCCAGAGACCTCCAGCAAAAGGGGCCCATGCGCCCTGCCGGGCCTCTTCCGGTCGCCGCGATGGGGTTGGGGTTGACCTGCAGCCCCTCTGCAACCAGGCGGTCTCTTCTGGGAGCACCTCATCCAGCTTAGGAAATTCCCTGTCCGACTGCTTTGGGGCCCCGAGGCTCGGCGAGGGCAGGAAAGGGGAGGGCAGCCAGGGCCCTCCGTGGACGAGCTCCCGGCACGGTGCGGGGCCTGGCCTGGCCTGGGCCTGGGCCAGAGTCGAGTGGCCGCAAGCGCAACTCTTCCCTAATCGGCGACGCCGAGCCCAGGAATCCACTTAAGGGCTTGGGCCAAATCCGCTGCCGGCGCTCATCCGCTCTCCTGGCCTGCCGGCACCCCACCCCCTCCCGCCTGTGGCTCAAGGGCTCGGCCGCCCGGGCCCGCCACCCTGGGCCCGGGGGGCCCACACCCCAGGGAGAGCGGCGGGGCTGCCCCACACGGAATGCTCCCCGGCACACGGTGGTGCCCTCATGCCCGGGGCTCTTGCCCCAGAGGTCCAGAGTCGCTCTCCAGCACTGCCAGGTGGCCCGCGGGCCGGGCAGAAGCCCTGTGCCCCAGCCACGCATCCCGCCTCACTGCCGCCTCGTGGCTCCCTCGCCCCGCAGGCACCGAGAGGACGCGTGCCGGACCCTCCACCCCGCGCCCAGGCGGCGCCCGGCCCCTGAGGCCACGTGGAGCCCACCCCGGCACAGCCATTGCTTCCAGGGCTGAACGGCCCCCGCTCCGCTCTCAGCGCCCTGCATGAGAGGCGGCAGGACCCCCACAGGGGCCTGTGCCTTGCCTCCCTCCGGGGAAGGCCGGACCCCCCACTTTCTGCCTGTAACCCCCCCAGGTTTAATTCTCATGCTTTGATGCCTTTTTTCTCTGCAGGGGGGAAACACCAAGGAAGAAAGACGGAGCGCTTCCCCCTGCAGCCAGGCCCACGGCGCCGGCAGCAGGTCCGGGGCGACTGTTACAAATCCGCCCGAAGGCAGTGAGAGCAAGAAAGAAAGTTCTTTGGCACGTTCCAGAACCGTCCCTGCCAGCAGCACCTCGCTTCCCCCTAGGGTCAGGCGCCAGTTCCACCCCCCCGCCCGCCTTGCGCCCCCCACCGGGCGCGTTTGCGTAAGTCCAGACCCAGCGCAAGAACACGACGTGCCGCGGTGCTTCAGCCTGCGCAGGACGCCCAGCGGCATCATCATCCGGCAGCCCAGGGCCGGGATGCAGTTGCCGTGGCAACAGGCCCTCCTTTCGGGGAGGCGGCTGGGAGGGCTGACATCACCGTGGGGCGGGGAGGGGCGGGGGCGATGGGAGGCGCAGGATGGCTTTGTTGTCCCGCTGCCCAAGTGGCCAGGCCCTGGGCTGGCACCGGCCCGGCACTGCAGGCGCTGGTACCCAGAGCGCATCCTCGCCCGCCAGCCGCTCCTCCGCCCGCCCGGCTCCGCCTCGCCCTCCATCCTCCCCGCTCTTCGCTCGCGCCCGCCCTCCCTCCCTCCCTCCGGCTGCCGGCATCCCCCTCGTCCTGGGGCAGAGGCCGCTCTGAGCCCCCGCCCCTCCCCGAGCCCCCCATGGTGCTCGCCCTCCTGGTGGCCACGTACAGGCTCTGCCGCTTGGCCATGTCGGGCGTGGAGGCGCTGGCGGGGCTGCTGCCCGGCCACGGGGGCCACGAGGGCTGGTGGCCGGAGGGCCTGGAGGTCCCCGAGGAGCTCTCCCCCGGCCTGGCCGCCGGCATCCATGCCGCCCTGAGCAGGATCCTGCCCACCCTGCACCGGGCCCTCTCCGCTGCCAAGCAGGCGGCCAGCCCCGAGGAGAGCCGGGCGGGCCTGGCCGAGATCCTGGCGCTGGTGGAGGAGGCGTGGGCCCTGCCGGCTGTGGGCAGGGAGGTGGCCAAGGGGCTGTGCGACGCCCTGCGCCTGGAGGGGGGGCTGGACCTGCTGCTGTCCCAGCTCCAGGCGGCCGATCGCGACACCAAGGGCCAGGCGGCCCAGCTGCTGGAGCAGATCCTGGTGGCGGAGAACAGGTGAGCCGGCGGGGTGGGGTGGGGTGGGGTGGGGCGGGGGGCCGAGGCCCATGCGTCAGGCCAGCCTCCCCCAGGCTGCTCCGGACTGCAGCCCCGTCACCCCCAGCCAGCCAGCACGGGGCTGCTGTCCTTCGGGCGCGCTGCTCGACAGCTGGCAAACCGACTGGATTGGGCAGGCTGCCTCCTGCCCGTCTTTTCCTGCCCCCCACGGGAACGTGAGTGGGGTGTGTGCCGGCCTCCCCAGGGGCAGCTAACGCGCCCCCCATGCACACCCCTGTGCTTGCTAATTGTGTTAGGCAAAGATCATGGAGCTGCTTCTCCCAGAAGAAGGGGCCACCCGGCCCCGGTGAACTTGGGGACCTCTCAGCACTGTGCACGCCACTGCTGGGACCCACGAGCCCCCCGGGCCGCCCAGCACTGGGACCCATGAGCCCCCCCGGGCCGCCTGCAGACGCTGCTGGCAAGGCTGGGGGAGCGCCTGTCTAGAGCCAGCCTGTGCGGCTGGGGCTGGGCACGGCTCGGTGCAAGGGGGTCCCGCGTGCTCCCGACTGACTCCAGCCCCTCCGGCCCCGCTCTGAGGTCCAGAGCACCTGCAGTTCTCCCCCCTCACCAGCAAGAAACACACCCACGTCATTATGCAGGCCCAGTGGAGGCCTGGCCACTGAGATAGGGCCCTCCCCTTAAAAAACGAGGCAAGTTTCTAGTTCTCAAGGATCGAAACAGGAGCCCAGGAAGCAACGTTGCACCAGGTCTGATGGCCCATCAGTCTGGGTGCTGCTGCAGCTCTCCAGGGTCTCGGGTGAGGAAGGGGCTTTCCTCAGCCCGGGCACAAGACAATCAAGGACTGCACGGGCTCCTCTGGGCGGTGAGGCCCAGCCCACGAGGACACCCCCCCGGTGGGACTGCCCCGGTGGCCACCCGTCCTGTGGGGAGTTCTCACCTCACCCCCCTGTTCCTCCCTCCCTCCCTTCATATATGTGAGTGGAGCCAAACCCTCCGTTCAGTTGTGTGGCGCTGGAACGGGGGAGCAGCTGAAGGGGGCGCCTCATGAGCGGAAGCACGAGGCCTTCCTCACAAATACCCGAGGCAGCCAAATAGCCAGATGGTGCCACGGTGGGGCAGGACAGTGGGGCAGAGCGAGGCGGGCTGCCGCCCCACGGAGAGGGCCCAGGCCAGGCAGGCTCCCCAGGGCCTGGCGGAGCGGCTAAAGTGGAAAGCGCATCAGGCCGCCACCATCCCGGGCAAGCAAGGAGGCGGCTCCGCTGGCGAGGTTCGCAGGCCGGCAGGAGGGACCGACCGTGGGCATGTGCCCCCCGGCAGCATCCCAGGCGGGCAGCAGCGTGTTCTGTTCCAGGAACAGCCTGTCCCGCCGCAGCCCGTCGCCAGCACCCTTGGCGATGCGCACAGCCCCACGGAGGCCCAGGCGCCCGCCAAGTCTCCAGGGGAGCACGGGGGGCCCGGCCCGGCCCCGTCTGTGCCAGGCCAGCCGATCAGCCTGCCGGGCCCTCCGGGATGTGGCTGCCTCCCAGGGACCGGCAGAGCATTCCCAGAGGAGAGCTGGGCGCCCTTCCCAGCAGCCCGTCTCCCGCGAGGGGGCAGGAGGCGCGGCTTGGACAAGGACTGGTTTGGTCCGGAGCCCAGGACCGAGTGCAGGAGGCAGAGGGGTGCCGAAGCAGAGATCCGGGGTGCTCCGGCCCGCGTTTCCTGCACAGAGGGGGCCCCACGCCACAGCACCCTGGTTTGCCCACGGTGCGAGGGCCGTCTCTCGGAGTGGGCAGCCAGGCGGGGGGGGCGGGCTGGGTCGCCACAGAGGCGTCATCCCCGTGGCAGCTGCCGAACGTGGAGCAAGGTCAGCGGAGAGAGACCACGGGGCTTCCAGCGCAGGGTTGCCTCACCGCTTCCTGGAAAAGCGAGCCGGGCTGGGCCGGCCCTCCCGTCGGAGGGGTGCTCCCTCGTGCTGCCGTGTCAAGGCTGCCACACTGGCCCGAGGGGCCTGGCACTTCCCCGGCGGGGGCTCAAGCCCCCTCGGGTGCCAGCGGCCTCCTCGGCCTGCTCCTGCTCCCGACGCTGGGCTGGGCTGGGCTGGGTGGTTCTCGGCCCCTGGATGTCCAGGCAGCCCAAGAGGGGAACGGTGTTGTCCCTAAACAAGGGCACCTCTCCAATTCACACGCAAATGCAGACACGCAGGTACATGTTTGGAAAGAAGGACTACCATTGAAAGACCACGACACAGTGGAGAAGACCGCCCGGACCACCCTGGCCTGCCGGGTTTGCTGCTGGGGCCCGCCGAGAACTTCTGTGCTTCTCGGTCCAAACATGTACCAAGCACCTCACACTTCAGTCCAGGGCACCGACTGCATATTTTTAAATGATGTTGCATGTTTCCCCCAGGTAAATTTGTGCAAGAAATCACACATCTTGCTCCGAGCGTCCCTGGCCTGGCACGAGAGGGGGCAGCCTCCAGTGCTCCCATTTCGGCTAGCCACTAATTCGGGACCATGCAGGCTGGAATCTGGCCGGACTGAGCGGGGAAGGGCCCCCGTTCGGCCGTGCGGCTGCTGCCAGACGGATGCCCCGGGGCCCGGCTCCCCCCCGGACAGGCAGACGGAGAGCCGGGCTCCGTCTCCGAGGAGGGGCCGGCGGCCGCAGCCCTGACCCGCTCTCCATTGCAGGAACCGCGTGGCTCAGATGGGGCTGGGCGTGGTGCTGAGCCTGGCCCGGGAGCGTGACTGCCTGCCCTTGGCGCGCAGCACGGCAGGCATCCTGGAGCACATGTTCAAGCACTCGGAGGACACCTGCCTGCAGCTGATCTCCGGCGGCGGCCTGGACGCCATCCTCTACTGGTGCCGCAGCAACGACACGCCGCTGCTGCGGCACTGCGCCACGGCCCTGGCCAACTGCGCCATGTACGGCGGGCCGGGCAACCAGCGGCTGATGGCGGAGAAGCGGGCGCCGGAGTGGCTCTTCCCGCTGGCCTTCTCCACAGAGGACGCCCTGGTCCAGTTCCAGGCCTGCCTGGCCGTGGTGGTGCTGGCCAGCAACAAGGAGATCGAGAAGGAGGTGGAGGGCTCGGGGACGCTGGCCCTGGTGGAGCCCTTCCTGGCCGGCCGCAGCCCGGGGCTCTTCGCCCGCACCCTGCTGGGCAGCAGCGACAACAGCCAGGGCCGGACGGCCGACGACCTGCAGTACCTGGTGCCCCTGCTGGACAGCTCCCGCCTGGAGGCCCAGGGCGTGGCCACCTTCTACCTGTGCGTGGAGGCCGCCATCAAGGCCCGGCAGAAGAAGACCGAGGTAGCGGTGGCGGAGCGGGCCGGGCCGGGCCGTCCACCCCCGACCCCCAGTGGCATCCCCACAGCGTCTCCAGGCCCGGCCGATCCCGACCTTGGGGGGACGCCAGGGCTGCCCGTGCAGAGGGTGCAAAAGCCGGGGACGGCTCCAAAGGCCTCACCGGGCACGGCGCCCCCGGGCCTTCGCCCGAGGGGCAGGCGCCGAAAGTGCCCCAAATCGGCAGGGGGGCAGGACCCTCTCAAATCCACAGGTTCTGCCGGGGCCTTTGGCAGTGCCCCGGCAGCGAGCGCTGGGAGATCGCCCCGAATCCGCCCCGCAATGCCCCCCCCCCCGCGCCTTCGGGGCCGCTCCCGAGGCCTCCCGGTGCTGCCCGGCCCGACTCCAGCCCGTTCTGCCCGCCACGCAGATCTTCGCCGAGATCGGGGCCCTCCAGAGCCTGAAGCGCATCGTCTGCTACTCGCCCAACGGCACCACCTCCTCGCTGGCCAAGCAGGCCCTGCGCACGATGGGCGAGGAGGTGCCCCGCCGGCTCCAGCGCTCGGTCCCCACCTGGAAGCCCCCCGAAGTGCAGAAGTGGCTGCGGCAGATCGGCTTTGCCGAGTACTGTCCCCAGTTCCTGGTAGGGCTCGCGAGGGGGCGTGGCGCTTGTGGACGATGGGCGGTGTGGCTTGACGTGCCTGGTGCTGCAGGCCGGGGAAAGGGACGCTCGGGGGCTGGCGAGGGCTGCGGGCCCCCCCCCGGCAGCCCCAGATCCCCGGCACGCCCCCTCTCTGCAGAAAGTCAAGGTGGACGGCGACCTGCTCCTGCGCATGACGCACGAGGACCTGTCGGGCGGCCTGCAGATGCGCTGCAAACTGACCCGCACGCGGTAGGGCCGCCTCGGGAGCAGGGACGCCCTGCGGGGGGGGAGGGAGGGGGAGAGGCGGGGGAACGTGCCCCCCGCCGGCCCTGAGCCCCCCGCCTGCCCGCAGGTTCCTGCGCGAGCTGACGGAGCTGAAGACGTACGCCAGCTACTCCAGCTGCGACCGCAGCAACCTGTCCGACTGGCTGGCCGGCGTGGAGCCTGCCTTCCGCCAGTACACCTACAGCCTGGTCAGCTGCGGCATCGACCGCAACTCCCTGCACCGCGTCACCGAGCAGCAGCTCCTGGAGGACTGCGGCATCCGCGTGGGCTTCCACCGCGCCCGCATCCTCTCCGCGGCCCGCGGTAATTGCGGGGAGGCGGCCGCGGGACGGGACGGGCCGGCCCGGGCGGAGAAAGGGGGGCGCTCGCCTCCACCCCTGTGGGACGGGCGACCCGCCTCCTGGGCCTCCCTCGAGACGGCCATGGTGTGGAGCCAGCAGAGCGCTTTGCTTGAGGACCGGAAACTGGAGGACGAGAAGCTTTCTGGGGGCCACTGGGCCACAGCGGGGAAAACACGGGCAGGCGGAGGCGCCCCCAACGCGGCTCCCCGGTGGCTTCCCTCTCCCCGCCGCAATGCCCCGTCTCGTGCTTCCGAAAAGAGTCGGCCACGCGGGCCAGCCCGCCGCTCTGCCCTCCTGTCCCCTCCGCAGAGATGCTCCACTCCCCCTTGCCCTGCAGCAGCGGCGGGAAAGGCGCTTCCAACGGGACGGACGTGTTCATCAGCTACCGGAGGAGCACCGGCTCGCAGCTGGCCAGGTGGGGGACCGCCCTGCGGACCCCGGGGGACGGGTGGCGCTCCCTCCCTCCCTCCCTCCGCGAAGGCATTCCGACGTCCCACCCTGCATGCCAGAAACGGGGGCCTTCCACGATAGGCGGCCGGCTCCGTGGGGCAGCCCTCCAGGTATCCGCCTGGGGGCGACTTGCCGGCCACAACCGGGGCCCGCAGCCATGCCCTGACAGGTGGCACCCACGTGATGCAAGCCAGCCGGGAGGGACCTGTGGAACTCCCTGCAAGGGGGGGATCCCACCCCCACTTGCTCTTCCTCAGCCTGCCGGCCGCCAGAAGGCATGAGCTGCACTTCCCATCAGCCCCAGCCGGCCCGAATTCGCCAGATCGCATATGCCAGCTTATCGATCCAAACAAGCTCCGCTTAGCCCTGAAAGTAGCACGGCACAGACAGAATACTCTTAGCACTGATAGAATACTCTTAGTGTGCCTTACAAGCACTTTTCCTTGGGTGCTGGTGCAACAGCCCTGCAGGGTAGGCCGAGTGCAGCAGCGGGGAGCGTGTGCTTTGAGTGGGCACGGCCGACAGCGCCCTGGCCCGCTCCCCAATTTGGCGCCCCCGGGGGCTAAGCACGCTCCCTTCCGCAGCCTGCTCAAAGTCCACCTGCAGCTGCACGGCTTCAGCGTCTTCCTGGACGTGGAGAAACTGGAGGCCGGCAAGTTCGAGGACAAGATCACGCAGAGCGTGACGGGTGCCCAGAACTTCGTGCTGGTGCTGAGCCGCCAGGCCCTGGACCGCTGCATGGGGGACACCGAATGCAAGGACTGGGTGCACAAGGTGGGGTGCCAGGCGGCGGGGGCGCCGCCGGGGGCCCTCGCAGGCTGATCGGCCTCCTCGGCGGGGGGAGGCAGCCCACGGGCTTCTGCAGCGGGAGCGAGGCACGCCTGCCCCGTCCCCGGGGCCGCAGAGGGGGGCGAGGGGGGCCCGGCCTCCCTCCCGAGAGCCCCCCGGCCTCACGCCACGCGTCCCCGCAGGAAATCGCCCTGGCTCTGCGCTGTGGGAAGAACATCATCCCGGTGACGGACCACTTCGACTGGCCTGACCAGGCCCAGCTCCCGGAAGACATGCGGGCCGTGCTGAAGTTCAACGGGATCCGGTGAGCGGCACTCTGCGTCTCGGCCAGGCGGGAGCCCCGTGCGGTGGGCGGAGGCAGCCCGGGCTCCGTACGGCACCGGGGCGGGGGGCGCACCCCTCCCCAGCCAGGCGCCGCTCAGCCGCATGGGTCCCTCTGCTCACAGATGGTCCCACGAGTACCAGGAGGCGACAATCGAGAAGCTCATCCGGTTCCTGCAGGGCCGCTCGTCCCGGGACTCCTCCACCGGCTCCGAGAACAGCCTGGAGTGCGGCCCCCCGCTCGGGCAGACCTAGGCCGGCGGGAGGTGGGGCTGGGCGGCGGGACGGGCGGCCGGTCCCCAGGCCCCTCCCTGCTCCATCCGAAGACGGAGGCCTCACGCGCATCGCCGACCCCGAGGGGCTGGGCTCGCCCCTGCTTGCCCACCAGCGGCCCCACTGGCGCCCCGGCCTGGGCATCGCCCAGGAGCCCCCGGAGGAAACGGGGCCCTCCCCCCCGACCCCAAGCTCCTTCCCCTCTAGTGCCTGAGCCCTGTGGCAAAGCCCCGCGGGGCACGTACCTGCGCCCAGGGTCGCAGCTGCAAGTATTTCCTGCCTCTCAGTTGCTGCTATTTCCTTCCCGAGAAAGGCTCCCGCACCCAGCCGGCCGATTCCGTGGCAGAGCAACACGAAGCGCTTGTGGCAGTGCAGAGGAGGGACCGGCCTGCCCCCCCGCCAGGCTTGCCCAGTGCAGCGGGGGCTCGGGTGGGCCCCAGGAGGGGCTTGCTCTGGCCGGCAGAGCAGCACACATGCGGGCTGGTTCAGAGGCGGCCGAAAGCATGGAGGGTCAAGGCTCTGTCCGGCCGGTGGCATGCGGGCTCAGCGGCTCCAGCGCGCCCAGGACTTGCGTGCCTCCCCGAATCGGATGCTGCGGAGGGCAGGAAGAGCGTTTGTGCCCGCTTTTGAGTTTCCCAGGGGGCCGAAAAGCGCGACCGACGGAGGGCCCCGTTCCCGAGGCCAGGCCAAGCGATGGGGCCCTGCCCCGCGTGGGTTTTCCATCAGTGCCCAGTGGCTGTGACTACTAAAAGGCGGCTGCCACACCAGAAAGTACCAGAGGAAAAACAGAAATAAACCTGCAAACGTCGTACTGTCTCTGCACACCTGCGGCACATCCACACGCACGATTCGGTTTGCGGCTCCCCAGAAAAGCTCCCGGGGGGTTGGGAGAGGCTGTGGTGCCCCCGGGACTGGCCAGCTCCGGAAAAGGCAGGAGGGGGCTGAGGGGGGGCACCAAGCTGGAGAAAGGCGAGGTCCCCCCCTCCCTGATGCCAGACCTGATGGCGTCTTCCCACGAAGCTGGCGGGAAGGAGACCCGGGCCTGATCCAGGGAAGAGCTGCTTTGCAAAGCGCAGGCTGGAACTGCCTTCCGCAAGACGCAGGGATGCAACCCCCCCCCCCCCCCGCCACAGGCAGCTTTAAAGGGGGTGGGACCCATTCCTGGGAACTGGGCAATCTAGTCCCGATGGCTAGAGGCGACCGCCAATATCGGAGACGAAACGCCGGGGGACACGAGTGGGAGGGTGCGCTGTGCACCCAAGTCCTGCTCCCCGAAGGCGTCTCTGGGGACTGTCCCAGATGGAGCCCTGGCTACGCCGGCACAGCTTTCCGGCAGGCCTGCGTGGAATCGCTGCCTCGGGACGGTTGCTTAGAGCGCAGGTGTGCTGCCCCCCTCCTCTGTGTCTCGTTCACGGGGTCCCGCCCTGTTCCCAGGGGCCAGGCATCCTCCAGGGGCCCCGGACTGGGTCTTTCCCAAAGCTGGGCCTGAACCCCCGTATCACCTCTGCCACCTGGAGCCGGGTGCTTCCACATGCTCCAGAACAGCACCTGGGATGCCTGCCTGGCCGATTCCACGTGCCAGGACTGGCAGGGCTAGGAAGGCAAGCACAGCCCCAGCCCCGCAAAACCCTCGCCCGCCTCCTCTCGCGGCGCAAGCCAGAACGGATCCGGACAGCCAACACGACGACTGTGCCGGCGACGGCACAAATACGAGCGGCCACGCGGTCCGGCAAACCGCTCACATGCCGCCCCGCAGACTTGGCTCCGCACTCCACCCAGGCCTCTCCGTGGGAAGACTTCACCAGCTGCCCATCCGTGGGCCCGAAAGATCAACAGAGATCTCTCCACTCGCTCTCCATGCTCAGAAACGGACACGCAGACCAGATCTCTCGCTCACTTGTGCACTTGGAGGAGGGAGGGAAGAGCCGCCTGGTTTTGGGGCTGGGAGGCCAGCGCCGAATGGGGCAGCACTGGGGCTCGGGGCCCTCCTTGGACTGCCGGCACCCCCCCCCCCCCGTGCACTGAACTGCAAAGCACCCGAAGCCAGAGAACCGGGATGACCAGCATCCCGCATTCAGGTGGCGGGGAGGCGGTCGATCCCGCATCACCTGGCCCGTTCTGGCCTCCCCGCCAAGCCTGATGGCCCGGCCCGAGGCAGCCGCACTGGGGGGATTCAGGCGGACCCTCGCGGCTTTTCCTGCCAGCTCGGCCAGCGGTCCTACCAAGGGGCTGATCCCCACGTGGGACGAGGGGGCAGCCCGGCGAGCACTGTGGGAAAACGCTCCAAAAGCAAAAGCGGGAGAACCCTCTCCTAGAATCTGGAGCCCAGCGGCCATCCGTGGGGGGGGGGGGGACTGGGCGGAAAAGGGCCCCATCTGCTGACTCACCTGCACAGGTGTCCCAGGGGCCACATTCGTGGCGGAAGCGGGGCGACCCCCGATCCTCGTGCCCCGCCGCCCGGGGGGTGCTCGGAAGGCGCTGGGGGCCACGCGGGAAGCTTCCACGGGGAGGGAGCGGGCAATCGCCGCAGGCCGGCCGGCCTCCGCGGGCTGCCAGCGGGGCTCCTGCGGCTCTCCCGGGGCAGGCGGCTGGGCTCGGCTGGAGAACATGGGTGGCGTGGTCCGGCGCCTCAAGGCGCGCCGCGGATTTACTCGCGAGGAAGCCCCGCGGAGCGCGCGCCCGGCCACGTGCGCCACGCGGCTCCGGCACCTGCCTTTCCCTCCTTCGAGAAAGCGAAGGGTTTAAAAAAAAAAAGGCTCGCTGTCCTCGCGCCTGCGCACTTTCGTCCCCTTTCCGTTGCCTTCCCGAAGGCCGGCCTCTTCCAGTAGTCTTGCTATTGGTCGAATTTGCCGCCGCTCCATTCTAGAGCAGCGCGGGATAGGCGAGCTTGGCGCGATGACGTCCCACCCTGTGGGCGTGCCCGAAAGGAAGGGCAGGCGTTCCTTCAGTGGGAGTTGCTCTTCCCGCTCGCTGATAGGCCAATCTTCCTGCCACTCGTCTGAGCTCGCTCTGGATTCGTCCACTCGCGCTCGAACTGCCCTGGACGGGCTGAGCTCCGCCCCTGAGCCGAGCTCGCTTGGGAAAGACTTCCGGACGCGAGAATGGCGGCTGAGGCCGGCGCCGTTGCAGCCCTGGACGCGGCAGGTGCGCGGGGAGGGATCGGGACCCGGGTAAAGGGACGCCCTCGGCTCTCACTGCGGCTTCACTCCCAATTCGATCTGGCAGCTTCCTGATTCGCACGATCCGGACTCTCGCGCAAGCCTGAGCAGCCTTGGCTTGCTGGCGCGCTGAGCCCCGAAACGTGCTTTGATCGGAGGCCCCTTCCTGCAGTTCGTAATCGCCCATCGGTTGGGCGGCGTGCGGGACACAAAGCCCCCTGGATACGGCCTTCCCCGCGAAGTTGCGAAGCAAGGGGGAAAGGAAGCCGGGCCCCTCTCCCCGGGTACTGCCTAGTGCGTCTTACGTGGAGTAGACCCATTGGAATGAATGGAACTGACGTCAAGCAGGCTAACCTGGGGCAGCGCTCCCAGCTTCTTTGCCGGGCTTGCAGCCAGCGTGGGCGATGGGGATCAGGAGGCACCTTCCCGACGGGAGCTGGCGATTGCACTGGGGACCAACGGCATGCAAGACGGCAGTTCTGCTGTTTCCCCTTTGCAGAGGGAATAAGCTTCTAGTCCTCAAGGTCTTGCAGAAAGGGCTGAGTTCAATAGGACCACAGGAAGACACGGGCTCAGGGCTTGTACTTCAGTGTGGTCTGTGCCGGCTGGCAGCGTCGACTTTCCAGGGTGTTCGACCCGGCTGCTCCCAGTCCAAACCCGGGTTGCGTGGCGAGCCGAGCCGAGCGCTTCCAGGCAGCTCCAGACCCTCACCTGCCCTGCTCCCCGCTGTGTCTATCCAGAGAAGGCCCGGGGAAAGTACGCTGCGCTATCCTTCGCCACCATCGCCATCGTGGTGGGGCTGCCGCTTTGGTGGAAGACAACGGAGACGTACCGTGCCTCGCTGCCCTACTCGGAGATCGCCGAGCTGGACACGCTCCTGGTGAGAACGAGGCCTGCTGCTCACTTCCCACTCTTCGCATGCCCAGAGCAGAGGTCCCGGGGCCTCTTCCTCCAACCGAGGCCATCCAGATGAGTTTGGAAAGGGGGGGCCATGGCCTGGCATATCTGGCGCGGGCAGGACTGCGGGGCTGACGGGTTCCCTGGGACGGTCAGAAACGGTTCCGGGGGAAGAGGCGGCGAGCGCTCTTGCTCATTTTTGAAACCTCACAGTGCGTTTCCAAGCCTTCCTGAGGCTGACACGGATGCAGCCCAGTCTCCCTGGGCAATCCCAAAGCGAGGCGAGGCGAGGAGACGGACGTGGGGAGGGTGAAGCCCCGGCTGGCCGCAGCCCCGACTCACTCAGCACCTCCCGTTCAGTTCCAGCTGACGGTGCCCGTCACGGTGGTCTTTGCCAGAGGGGTCCTGCCTGCGGACCAGGAACGGAAGCTCCCCCTGAGGGCCACCCAGAGGGCAGAGGTCCCCTTGAACTGTGAGTTGGGGGGCTGCTGGCCCCTGGGCCACGCTTCTTGGAGCAGCAGGGCTGGGTGGGGGGCTCTGCAAGCGAATGGGGCCACCCCCTTGCAAAGCGCCCTTGGCAAATGTGTCCAAGACCCACGGCGCGAGGGGAGGGGTGCATTCCAGGGGGTCCAAGACGCCTCCCCAGCCGGCAGTCCATCTTCGGGGAGGCACTCCGGGCCTGGGAAACCGGCAACCCTTGGCAGCTGGGGACAAGTGGATGGGAAGGGACCATGGCCTCCCAGCTGGGGGGGAGTCACCCTGAAGCCGGCCCGAGCTTCAGCCGCCCGCGTCGTTAGCGCCCTCATTACTGGACGCCGCCTCTGGCGCTGCAGCCGGCTCACTGCCTCTCGCCCCGCTTGGTTGCCGCTCCAGCCAAGACCGGCGTGACGTCCCGCTACGACGTCTCTTTCCGCCGTGCCACGTCGCAGGAGGAGACCTTCCTGTCCCAGGCCTCTGCGCCAGGTAAGGCTCCGGGGACGGAGGCCCCCGGTGGGGACAGGTGGGCCTCGTCAGGGGGGGCCTGCTCCTGAGCATCGCCCCTCCCTGTTGCAGAGGCTGTGGACGCCCTGCTGCCTGTGGAAGGGATGCCGGCCGGCTCGCTCACGGCCTTCGTGGTCCCCCAGAGCTCCCCGCTGCTGCCGCAGGTGCGCCTCTTGGTTCCCACAGCCCCTCTCCGGAAGGGGGAGCGGGTCCAGGGCTTGGAGGAGGGGGGCCCCTCCAGATGCATGGGGGGGTGCCCCACGCCAGGCTCACCCTGCTCCCCGTTTGCAGTCCCTTCCCCAGCCCGCGAGACCTGGGGGACTGCTTTCCCCGGGGCACAAGAAGTGGCCACCCACCCTTCCGACGGGCCGGGTGTCGCTTCGGGCCAGGCGGACGTGGCTCCGCGCCACACGCCGGGCCTGACGGCTCCCCGCTCTCGCCGCAGGAGGTGTCCGTGTACCTCGGCAAGCGCCGCAGCGCCGTGCTCAGGGCCCCCCAGGGCACGGGGGACACGCTGGGGGCCGTGTCGGCCCAGGTGCAGCAGCTGGCCCACGCCATGTCCTTCTCCCCGGAGTCCATCGCGGAGGCGCTGGCCGACCGGGTCCCGATCGGCCAGCCGGGAGCGGAGTGGAAGCGCCCGTTCAAGTCCAGCTTGGGTGCGTGTGCCCGGGGGTCGGTCGGGGCGGCTCCGAGGTCTCGCTCGCCAGACGTGAGCGGCATGTCACGTTTTCCCCTCCGGCACGCAGGGTATGAGATCACCTTCAGCTTGCTGAACCCCGACCCGAAATCCCACGACGTCCACTGGGACATCGAGGGGGCCGTCCGGCGCTACGTCCAGCCCCTGCTGGACAAGCTGGGCTCCGTGGCGGAGTTCTCCGTGGACTCGCAAGTGAGTGCGGGGTTCTGGGTTCAAGGGGCCCCAGCAGCCCCCTCCCCAGGCAGCCGGCTCAGTCTGGCCTTCTTCCGCCCCCAGATCCTCTATTATGCCATGCTGGGGGTTACGCCCCGCTTTGACGCCGCTTCCTCCAGCTTCGTCCTGAGCGCACACAGCCTCCCGCACGTCATTAACCCCGTGGAAGCCAGGCTGGGTGAGTGTGGGCCCTGGGCCCAGAGATGGGGCTCAGGGAAGGGCCGGCCTGCGTGCCCTGGCGCCCTCAGCCAGACCAACAAGCAATGTCATCGGACAGTCCCTGCCCCACCAGGCTTACAGTCCTAAAGTGGGAAATGGCACAGCATAAAAGGAAAAAAGATGGTGAGGGAAGAGGAAAAACACATCATCTTGGAGTGTGGGGGTGGACCCTATGGGCTCACTGGTTTCGTTCAGGTGTGGGGCAGTTTCCCGCAACCGGGGGCCTTCCCACATTTGTTCACCCACCGTGGCCACCCTTTCTCCCCCCACGCAGGTTCCAGTGCCGCCTCGCTTTACCCCGTCCTCAACTTCCTCCTGTACGTGCCAGAGCGCTTGTACTCGCCCCTCCACATCAAGGGGAAGGACGGGGCAGCCGTGCCCACCAACGCCTTCCACAGCCCCCGCTGGGGCGGGATCATGGTGAGGGGCCGCCTCCCATTGGACCCCCCCCAGGACACTGGGGGAGGGCTTGGTGGGGCTGATTGTCCATGGGGCAGAGCGGAAGGCAAGGAGGCGGGACGGGCTCCCCACGCAACGCCTTCTCCCCGCAGGTGTACAACGTTGAGCCCGAGGCGGCCAACGAGACCACCCTTCCCCGGCGGGTGGACGTCGACATGGTGCACGTGATGGGGGTCTTCCTGGCCCAGCTGCGGTGAGCCCCAGGACCGGAGTCGGGGAGGGGGCAGCCTCTCTTTCTCGAGGGGCTGGGGGTGGCTGCCTTTCATCCTAGTCCTGGGGGAGAAAAGGGGCGCCAGGGGTCCCGCGCCAGCGGAGGGACAAGCCTCACAAGCACCAGCTCTCACAGGTCCCTTCGCTCGCTCGGGGCCTCTGCTTGCTCCCTTCCTGTCACGGAGCTCTGTGGCACTCCGAAGCCTGCATGCCTCCGTGCCTCTGCCCCGAGCTGCATTTCCGCAGTGCCTTGCCCGCAGGAGAGCCTCGAGGGCTTTGCAAACAATCCCAAGCCGCCCGCAAAGGCACGCTGGGAAGAACGGGCTGGTTCTAAGCGGGGCACAGACTGGGCCGGGGGGGTCAAGATCCCCCCGAGGTAGCGCCCCTGCGAGGGAAGCCTCCTGGTCTCCGCTCCGAGTGCCTTGCGCGCCTGCCAGCCTCGGCGTCGCACACGAAGCTCCGACAGGAACAGTGACTCAGGAGGAGACCTTGCCCTTGGCACCCAGTGCCCAAGAGTCGACCCCACAACCCAACGCAGGGACGGCTGAGCCAGCTGCTGCGTCTTCCCGAGCCCCGGCCCGTTGAGCAAACGCCTGGACCTTTATCAGAGACAGTCCTGAGAAAGAGGGAATATGTTTATATAACGGGTCTCCGACAGTCGCCCCCACGACACGGGCCTACACTGATCCCCAAAGGCCCCGGCCCTTCTTGGGGGCCGGGGGCTCTGCGGCAGAGCAGCACCCTCAGGCCCGGCCTTCTCCTCCGCCCAGGCTGCTCCTCGGGATCTCTCCGGGGCCTCTGCCCGCCGGGGCGCTCCAGGGGGGCCCTGGGGGCGAGGGCCTCTCCGACTGGGAGCTGGACCGCCTGCTGTGGGCCCGGACGGTGGAGAACGTCGCCACGGTGTCCACCACCCTGACGTCACTGGCACAGCTGCTGGGCAAGATCAGCAACATCGTGATCAAGGACGACGTGGCCTCGGAGGTACGAGCGGCGGGAGTGGCAGGGGCCCGGCCCCGGGGCCAGATTGCCCGCCTCGCCGCCACGGGGGTAAAAACCGTGGCTGGGGGTGGAAACACCGCTGAGTGGGGCCCCTTTCCCTCGAAAGGTCAAAGCAAGCTTCTAGTCCTCATGGTTCTGGTGCAAAGAGGACCGCTCGAGCCCCAGAGGCCAGCTAGGCTGTCTCCTTGACGGGGCGTGTCGGCAAAGTCCAGCGCCGCTCCCTCACCGCCTCCTTTTGAACCCAGGTGTACCGTGCCGTGGACGCGGCTCGGGAGGCGATGCGACAGCTGGAGCGTGGCCACCTGGATGCCGCCTTCCGGGCCAGCAAGGCCGCGGTGACCTCCTCGGAGCGGGCCTTCTTCGACCCCTCCCTCCTGCACCTCCTCTACTTCCCCGATGACCAGAAGTTCGCCATCTACATCCCCCTCTTCCTCCCCATGGCGGTCCCGATCCTGCTCTCGCTGGCAAAGATCCTCCGGGAGAGCAGGCAGAGCCGCAAAGCTCCCGTCAAAGTGGACTGAGCCCCCCTCGTCTCCTGCCGCTGGTGGAGGACAGCTGGCTCGTGCGGGAAGAACTGGGCCGGAGCGCCTCTGCCCCGAGACGGCAGTTTCGGCCTTTGCCGGACCTGGGAAGCGGGGCGGGGTGGTCGCTGCCGCCGGTCCTCTGCGGGGGTCCTCGCGAGGGGCTCCCCACGGGGGACGCGGGACTGTGGGGGCGGCAGCGCTCCTCGACCCTGAGGACAATCGTGCCCACCCGGCCCAGCACTGTTCCCCGGCCCTCTGACACAGAGGCGTTTCCCATCTATGGGCCGCATGTGAGAATGCTGTGATTTCACTCGTGTGAAGTTTTTGTGTCCCGCTGCTCCTCCTAACAGGCTGCTTGGAGAGCGGGGGGGGGGGGGGGGGGAGCTTCTATGCTGCCAGGCAGAACAAGGCAGTCTCTGCCCACAGGTTTGCAATCGAAAGGCAGCATAAGAGGAAAAGCAGGTGGGGACGGAAGAGGAAAAATGTTGCTTCCCTCTGGTTCCTAGTCCTCGGCAAGGAGTGGGGAAAGAAGCCTGTCTCTTTGGCTCGAGTTTTCCACAGAAGGGCTCGGTGGCAACATGCCCCCCCCCCCCGAGGGCCAAAGCACGCTGTGGGTGTACAATCAGATTCTCCTCTGGGCACCTCCAACTCTCCAGCTCTGGGCAGAGCAAGGAGAAGCCATTCAGGTGCCTCTCGGGGAGGACCAGGGTCTAAAAATAAAACACTAAGGAACATGCATCCGAACGGCTCAAGAACCTTTTCTTGTGCAAGACGCGGGAACAGCTGACAGCCGGCCCGGATCTCTGCCGGGACAGGCCGAATGCGACGCCCAAAATTGTGCCGGTGACAGCGTGGCAGCGGCGATGGGGCCGGACGGTGCATGAAAGCTCGGGTCAGCTTAGGATGCGACGGCGCCCCATGGCGCCGGCCTTGGGCAAAGCACAAGCACCAGCACAGCATCTTGGGGGCGGACGAATTAGTCGGAGAGCTGTGCCAGTAGCCTCTCCCTGCAGGACAGTAGGAATGCCCCAACGCATCCCCAGGGCGTTTGAAGCCCCTTTCCAAATGCCCCCGCCCCCCTTGGCTCCTTCCCCCACAGGCCCCTCCAGCCCCACAGGCTGCCCTCCGTGGGGCAGCTGTGCTTGGAAGCAGTGCGTGGTCCCAGCGAGGAGCTTGCAAAGCGGGAAGGGCAGAAGCGAGGATGGAGGGGACGCAGGGGCTGCCCTGCGAGGAAAGGGGGCGCCCAGGCATCGCTCAGCCGAGAAGGGCGCGTTGGGGGGCACGGCGGGGGGCGACGGCCTGCGGGAGGCCCTTGCAGGCTCCCACGTTCCAAGCGCAAACATCGGGAGCGGCTTGCCCGGAGAAGCCCCACTGGCGCTGTGGGGCGGGCTTCGAGCGTCTTGCTCTGCACCCGCGTGTCCCGCAACACGCGGCCCGGCAGGCTGCCTCTGCGCCACCCCCCCCCCCGCCGTGCGGATGATGGGGCTTGCCATCCGGGCTGGCTGAACCTCCGCCGCGCCAGGCGCTCGCCCTCGGGACGCCCGTCTTTGCCCCGCGGCGCCCGCCGACCCGTTCCCAGCGGAGCGCCCCCCGTCTCCCCAAGAGAGCCGCGAGGCAGAGCCGGGAAAAGAGGCCCCGCTCCCGCCGCCGGGGGCCGCCGGCGCTCTGCACGCGCGCCGAGGCGCCCTCCTCTCCGCCTCTCCTCCTCCCTCCCCGGGGCGGAGCCGGGCCGGGGGATTTGCGGCCGCAAAGGCGCTTAGCGCGCGCAGCCGGGCCCGGATGAGCGAGGCCGCCGCCGCCGCCAGCACCGCGCGCGCCGCACACACGGGCCCCTCCGGCGGCGGCGGCGGCACCGGAGCCATGAAGGTGAAGAAGGCCGGCGGCGCGGCGGGTGGCGCGCCCGGGGCCGCCGGCGGAGGAGCGGCGGCGGCGGCCGGCCCCTGCACCGAGGAGGAGCTGCTGCGCAAGGCGCTCATCGGCCCGGAGGACGTGCTGGGGCTGTCCAAGATCACCTCCGGTAAGGCGGCCCGCGGAGGCGGCAGGCCCGGGCTGCGGCTGCGCGGCGGAAGGTCCCGGCCTCTCCAGGCGCCGCTGCGCGCTCAGGGCGCACCGCCACCGCCACCACCGCCGCCGCCGCCGCGCCCCCACGGCTCCGCGCGCTTCGGGCCGCCGTGGTCCGGTCCGGTCCGGCCCGGCCGCGAGCTCCCTCCCCCTCCCCTCCCCTCCCCTCCCCGGGCCGGAGCAGCCCCCGGAGCGCCGAGCGGGCACCGTCCCGCTTCGCTTCTCCCGCGCCGCGCTTCCGCCTTCGCCCGCCCGGCGCCCTCCCTGACGCTCCGCACTTCGCGGCCCATCAGCCGCAGCTGCAGGGGCAGCGGGCAGGGGTGCCGGCGGAGAGAGGCCGGCGCGCCAGGAGGTCCCGCCGAAGCCGCTGCCCCCACGCAGCGCCCTCGGGCGCGCCGCGCTGCCCGCGGCGCCTCCCGCACAGCCCTGTGCGCGTGTCCTGCTCGCGTGTCGCGGCGGAGGCGCCTGCCCGGGGCCAGGCGCCGGTTGCCGCTTGGCAGCGCGGCCCGTGGGGCTGGCGGTGGCCCCGCTCAGCTGGCAGCGGGGCGCCCCGGGGGCGCGGCTGGCGCTTCCTGCCTCTTGTGGGGGTCCCCGCCCTCGGGGGACCCCTTGGCCAGTAGCACGAAGGTGGCACGACAGGCGGCACGAAGCCCACGGGCCTCTCGAGATGAGTGGCGAGCTGCCTCCGGCTTGAGGAACCCCTTCGGGGGCCGTCAGCTGGGGCCCCCGGACCTGGCCAAGCCCGTGAGCTGCGTGGAGGTGGACGGGGGTCTGGTCGGACCAGGCAGGGCCTCCCCCTGAGCCGGAGGTGCATGGCCACGCTTGGCCCCTGTGGTCCAGCCGCCAAAGGACCGCTTCTGGGCACAGGGCATCTTTCAGGGCCAGGAGTCCCGAGTGGGCCTGATCCGCCTGGTCCTTGGAAGAGGTGATGCGGGAGGCTGCTGGCACCTGCCGGGCCCGATCAGCCCGTTACTGGGGTGCAGGTGAGGGGATGCACCTTCGGGCCGTCTCGCAGCGCACCGCCTGGAGAATGCTTCCTCCACCAGGAGGCCCTCTGGACTACAACACCCTTCATCCCCTTGGGGGCTTCCCTGCTTCCACCATGGCAGGGGGATGACAGCCAGGCCGTCCTCTGTGGCTTCGGCTCGAGATTCCTGCCGGCCCTCGTGGCGAAGGGTCGTGGGAGCTTTCAGGGGCAGCAGCGAAAAGGGGGTGCTGTTGGGCCTCTCTGGGGATCCCTGGCCCCGGGGCGGACCTCTTGTGCCCTCCCATCCTTTCCTCCTGTGCGGCTCAGCTCCCTATTTTTAGCTGCTCTGTCCCGGTCGCATCCGAGCCGTGGCAACTGCTAATGAACTTATCCTCGCCAAATCCCTCCGAGGTGGGGAATTATCCCTGCGGACCCAGATGGCGGGTTGCGTGTGCGCGCACGTTGCGGGGACTTCGCCAGGTGGCCCTGCGTCACGTGGGGGGAGCGCCGGGGGGTTCCCAGGCTGCCCTGAGGCGTCCGGTTCGGGCTGATCCACGTGGCACAGACCCCCGGACGCCACTTGGGTGCGTCTCACCCAAACAGCACGAAGCCGCTTCTTTTTCTGTCCCGACAATCAAAGGCCAGCTTGGGGCTCACTTAGCAAAACCAACAAATTTTACACTTTGCCGCACACACCCTGTTTCCTGGGGAGACGGCGGGGGCAGCAAGCCTGTCCTTGGAGGCTCCTTGCGGGCGGGGAGCTGTCGGGAGGCGCACCTGCACTTCAAAACATGCCGCAGCTTCACTGGGAAGGCCTCGCCGCCCCCCATGGCTGGAAATGCTGCCATTGCTCGCTTTTCACCAAACGGGCAGGGCTGTTCTGGCAGTGCGTACCACGAGGGGCGCGCGGATCCCCTCGAGCATGTTCCACTGACGGGAAGCCCCTCTGGGCGCGGCTTCCTTCCTCTGCTCCCCGACCAGCCCAGGCAGCCCAAATGGACGCAGCCGCTTCCACTTTGCAGCGGGCCCGTGTCCTCGGCGCCGGTCTCTCACCCCTGCTTCTGCGAATCTGCAGATAATGCCGTAATCTCCCCCCGAGGAGCATCCCTGCCTTATTCTTGGCTTACCAAGGGAGCAGATTTTAAAATAGCCACTGACCTCAGTAGTTACCCAACCAAAGCTTGTTAAACGGCAGGGCAGATCACCTGTGCTTACCTGCCCACCCCTCCCCTTGCGCACCGTATTCCCAGCGTAACGGACGGGTTCTGTCCAGCAATCTGCACCATCCAGATGGCGTCTTTTGCGGACGAGACCTCCTGACCTTGTTACTGTCCGGAATGAGAATCCTTTTAGAAAGCCCCGGCTGGGCGGCTGATCCTTTGGGTGAGCGAGAGCCACCTTGACGACTCAAAGGGAGAAGAACTCCCAGGAGATGGAGGAGGAAGCAAACCTCCTGAGCTGGTGCATGGAGACACCGTGCCTTCCGCCTGACCCGCTTCGGCTTCGATCGGCACCAAAGGCGGAGCAAAGCGTTCTGCGTTTTCCAAGCACTTTCCAAAAGCCTTTCGGAAGGGAATACTGCGAAAATGCAGAGCGTTGCCAGCGGGGCACGAGGCCCACACCCCAGCATCGTGGAGCACAAATCTTCTGCACCCCCCTCCCCCCGGAAGCCTTGCTTGGCCTCCACTGGGCCCAGTAAGGCCTACGGGGTGTCCCAGCGCTGGGGGCTGAGTTGGGGGTGTGGCCGCCTGGGTTTATCACCCCCAAGGCAGGAGCAATGCTTATGCGGCAAAGCAGGTTTCCTGCGGCTCTGGGAGGCCGTTTGCTCGGCCCGTTGCTGGTAAAACATTTAGAAATGTTCTAAATAAATAAATAAAACAGATGCCCTGGGAAGAGAGGCCGGCTGGTCACATTTCCCGCGCAAAAACCCACAGGTGGGGGTGTCCGGGTGCGCAGGGTCTGTGGCATGGCCGGCTGGGTGAGTCCTTCCCCAAGGGGGCGCCCTTGAGCAGTGTGGGACTACTTTGTCCATCCTCCTGAGCCATCAGGAATGACACCCCCGGGGGGGCATCTCTCGCACGGATCCTTCCTCGCCATTTTGGTCTCACTGGCTTAGTGGCTGCAAAGCGGCTTATACTTTTCGTTCTGTCAGAGGGCAAAGCTTCTTAGAGCTGGGAAGGTGTTGCCGGCGTTCAGGCCGGTGATCGGCTGGTTTCTTTGGGGTACGCGGAGCCCCGGGCCACATCCACGGGACCGCCACGACACTCGGTGCACACGCCCCCCTTTTTGATGCAAACGCCTCGCATCGAGGGCTCGGCTCTCGGTAGCGAAGCTCGCAGCTTGAGGGTATCCTTAAAATAGCTGCGAAAGTAAAGTTGCACCAGCCACATTCTCACTCCGCACAAAGCGGGCAAATTTGCACGCCTTGGTGCCGGGCATTTTTGCAGAATTCAGGCTGCAACAGTCCCAGCCTCGCTCTCTGGAGTCGTGGGCCTCTCATTGCGGCCTGAACCACGCGTGTGGTTGTGCTCGCAGCCTGCTTCCTGTGCTCTAGTTTCGTGAGATCTTCTCTGAAGGAGCTTTCCATCAGCATTTCCGAAAATACTCCGTCGCTCTGCAGCTCGTGCAGCTTCGGTGCCTTCCCTTCTGGTTCCTGTCTACCTTCTCAGGGCCATCTTTGCAGCCCTGATGGGGGAGGCACGATTCTAGCCCCCCACCTTCCAGGCCAGGCCCACGGCACGTGCGACCACAGCTGTGCCTTGTCCGTGGGACCCCCAGCCCCCCACTGCACAGGAGCTGTGAGGGCTGGACCCCCAGGACCGGGGGGCGGGGTGGGCTCCCAGTCCTCCATGGGGAAGGAGCAATCAGCAGTTCCCACTTCGGTGGGTTTAGCTGCCCGCTTTCCCTGCAGACTATCTGTGCACCCCGGAGGAGAACATCTACAAGATCGACTTCACCCGGTTTAAGATCCGGGACATGGAGTCGGGCACCGTGCTGTTCGAGATCACCAAGCCACCGGCTTCCGGTAAGGGGCCCGCTGGAAGATGTCCTGCCCCTGCCCCTTTCTTCCCGCTCCATCAGTTAGCACTTCCTCCTCGGAATCCCCTCGGCTTACGATCACGGCACGCACCAGGCGGGGACGCCGGGGGCGGCGGGGCTGAAGCAGAGCCCCTCGGTGGAGCGTCCCCGCAGGGCGATACTAGCTCGGGTGGGCTGCGCGTGGAGGGGAGCTCTGGGGGCAGCCCCACTCCCCGTCTTCCCCCTTCCCCCCCCCAGAGCGTGAGCACAGCGACAAGAAGGACGCTGACCCCAATGCCGGGCGCTTCGTCCGCTACCAGTTTACACCAGCTTTCCTGCGGCTGCGGCAAGTCGGAGCCACGTAAGTCCCGGGAAGGCTCTGGACCTCCGTGGGCCTGTTGCACAGCCCGCGTTCCAGGAAAATCTGGGGGAAGGGGCAACGGGAGGGGTGGGCTGCCGGAGAAACCCCTCTTCGTGTACTCATCCTCTTGCCGCGGCCACCCCGCCACCGGGGAGTCGGCGCTGGGTGACCAGCAGGTGAAGCCAGGCCTCCGCCTGACGCCTCCCCCCGCCTGCCGCAGGGTCGAGTTCACCGTGGGCGACAAGCCCATCAACAACTTCCGCATGATCGAGAGACACTACTTCCGGGACCAGCTGCTGAAGAGCTTCGACTTCGAGTTCGGCTTCTGCATCCCCAGCAGCAAGAACACCTGCGAGCACATCTACGAATTCCCGCTGCTCTCGGAGGAGCTCAGTAAGTGCCGCGGGCGGCGGGCGGTGAGGGGTCTGGGCGGCGGAGGGGGGGCCGCCTGACCGCAGCGCTTCCTGCCTTTCGCAGTCCGGGAGATGATCCTGCACCCCTACGAGACGCAGTCGGACAGCTTCTACTTCGTGGACGACAAGCTGGTGATGCACAACAAGGCAGACTATTCCTACAGCGGGGGGCCGTGAGCGGGGCCCCCCCCCGCCCCCCGCCCCCCGCAGCAACGGCGCCGGAGCCCGCCGGCCGAGGGCGGCCCACAGAGCCCGGGGCAGAGGCCTCTGCGCGGACGCCGTCGGGACGGAATTGGCCGCGCGTCTGGCGCTCCCCCGCCCCCGGTGCCCCCTTCCCGAGGAACCTCTCCGCACCGCTGCGTAACTCCTTAGTTGGCAACCGCTTGCGACTCCCGGCTGTCCGCTCAACCTCCACGCCGCACAGTCTGCTTTCCGGCCGCTCAGACCCGCGAGGCACTCTCTCGTCCTGCCCCCCCCTCCGTTTTGTGCTCCCCCCCCCCCCCCCCCGGCGTGTGCTACCTTTTAATCCGACCTGCCCCGCGATGGGCAACGAGGGACCCGCGTGGCGCCTTGTTCGCCCTCGGTCCAGGGAGCCGGGGAGGGCAGGGAGACGCCGGTGCTCCCTCGGGGGTGCCGGGGTCCCCGCATCAACGGAGGCGGCTCAGGCTCTCGGCTTGTTCCGAGACGGCCGAGAACGCCCGCCCGCATCCCGCGCACCTCCTTCCTTCCTGCCTGGTGGCCCTGCCCCTCTCCCCCGGAGGGTCCTGACTTGAGCGGGGTCTCCGGTGGTCCGTCTTCCTCTCTGGGGCTGGGGGAGCCAGTGGAGGGCTCCCGGCGCCCTGCAGCCGCAGCCCAGGGGCTCTGCTCCACTCACAGCGACTTTTCTGCGGGGCGGGAACGCCGAGGGGGTGTGCCCCGTCAGGGCACGTCCTTCTCGGGGCCAGGCCCATCTGCCCTTTTCCTTCTGGAAGCATCCCAGGCACGTGTGGTGTGTGGCTTATTTATTTAATTTATTGGCCTGCAAATCTGTTCATTTCTGCGCGTTGGATGGAGGTGCCGCACGGCACCCGGGAGGTGGAATCGCACCGAGAACCTTCCCATCACGGTCCGTATTTGCTGCTGTTCCCGCAAAGCTTTCCGGGGAGAAATGGCAAAGCGCCGCTCGGGTCGCATGGCTCCATTTGAAAGGGAGAGGCCGAGATGAGGCCGTTTTCTCTGGACACCATTTGCTGGGCTAGAACCGGAGCAGGGCAAGCGGCTTTCGACGCGTCGTTTCGTTTCCCCTTAATTCTGCCCAGACAAATCATTCCGACGCTCACCATTTTTTAAGCAACTAGAAATTACAGTCGTGGGACCAGCTTTACGCAGGTCATGAGCTGCGTTGTCCAGCTCGTCTCTTTCTTGGTGGAGCCTTACACCAACGTAAACACGCCGCGTGGACAGCAGAGTCCCTTGCTTTCGGCAGCTTTCCCCAACGCGGGTGCTGCACGCTGCTGGGCAGGGATGGTGGGAATTGCACTCCGTGCTGGCTGCAGCTAGGCAGCTGGGCTTGAGAAAGCGGCCCCGGGCTCACCAGGCGGCGGAAGCAGGTTGCAGCTTCGGCAACGGGGGCAGTAGGATCCCTTTGGACAGAAGGACCATCTGGCTCTGTGCAGGCTGTGAGGGTCTCCCCTGAGAAGCTGCGTCCAGCGGATCCCCCGCCCCGCAAGGGCAGGAGCCCGTGGGACGCCCGGTCCCCGGGATCCCTCGGCGGACCCACGGATCAGCGGCCAGGAGGACTGCTGGGACATGACCGCCTTGAGTCGGCGGCCGAGAGCCGCCGTGGTCCGTTTTCACTGCCAGCCACGCGGTCTGTCCTTGCGGGCAGCGCTGCGGCTCCTCTCAGGGGGCGGGGGGGGGGGGCTGGTTCGCCCTGCGGACATTTTGGCCTGCTTTCCAGGGCGGATAAGACGCTCACAAGGCAGAGCTAGAAATAGCTTCCACCTGCTTTTCTGCAGCAAATACAAGATCCGTTTCCTTCCTCAAGAATAACCCTCAGGCACGGTCTTCCCCAACCCAGCGCCCCCCTGGTGCAGAACGAGCCGCTTCCGAGGTTCCCCCACTGCGTTACTCTCCGGACACGGATCCTGAGGGGGCCTCTCGGCTGTGACACGCCCCCCCTTTCTTTGCGTAGCATTAAGTTGCGTTGTCTTTGTATACTCCGAGTGCTAAATGTGTATTTTGGGGTGCAGATAGGTGTTAGCGTTCTTCCATTGGAGCGACGTAGCCATGTGAACTGGATCACGTTCCCGGCGCGGTCTGCCTTTTCTTCCTAGGTTCCAGACCCCGCATTTCTAGGAATATCCGCCGTAGCATCACCTTGCAAAATGCAAGACCTTACGGACGTGAGGCGGCCTGCCTGAGGCCGTGGGATTCCGGTTGCCCTCCTCCCCAGCCACGGGCTCTGGCTCATGAGAGTCGGAGCATCCACGGCTGGAACTAGCAGCTGCCGCGCCCCGCTGGGGGAGCCCGTGCGCGTGCGTGCATCCATCCACATGTTTTCCCCACGGCCGTGGGAATCGAGCATTCGGGATTGCAACCGTGGCGCGTGGCCGCGGGAGCAGCCTTGCTGGGGTGCGATTACGCTGGCCTGGCGAGGACAGAGCGGGGGGCGGGGGGGGTGTTGCGCTGACGAAAACTGCATTCAGGTGAAGGGCCAAGCAGTCTTCCTTGTGGACATGAAGGGAGTTTGTGTCAACGAAACAAACCCAGAAAATAAATACCGGGCTGCGGACGAGCAACTGTCTGGATCCTTTCACGGCGCCGTTTCTTGGGGTGGGTGAGCGCGAGGTGAGACGGAGACGTTTCATAAGCACGAGTTTAAAAGTCGAGCCACATCGAGCCATACAAAGCAAGCTCCCCCTGTGGAAAGGGACCCCGGAGGAGAGGCGTGGTCCAGCCCGGGAGTGACGGAGCCTCTCGTCCCTGGAGGAAAAAGCCATTTCTACCCTGCTGTCCACCTTGGGGCTTGTTTCTGTCAGCTGCCGGCGTAACTGGCTTGCTGGCCTTTGCCAGACTGGGAGGGGAAGAGCGAGCTGTGCGTGGGGTGGGGGTCCTGGCCCCCCACGTCCTGCCCCTACTGAGAACGGCAGTTTTTTGGCACGGCCCTGTCCTGTGGAGGGGTGGGGGCCACGGCCTCCTCGCTCTCATGTCCCCCCGGGGACCCCCTTTCGCTGCGGGCCTCGACCAGCAGAGGGAGGACAGGCACGGCCCGTGTGTGTGTTTGCGATGCGGTGCCCCAGAGTGCCGGGCTCTGCCGCCTCGCACATGCTGCTGGCAAAGTCGCTTTTTCAAACGAGTCAACAGAGGGCAGCAGACGTTCGCACCTGCAAAACCGGGATCTGGCCACAGATCCAGCGGGGATGAGACAGGAAGGCGAGGGCAACCGGGCCTGGCACTCGCACCGGCTGGGCCCGGAGCGCAACTGGCCGTCCCCGCGGGGTTGCCCAGCTGCTGCGAGGCGGGCCACACGCTGCGCGTTGTGGGCGGTGGACAGCCCGGTTTGCAACCGGACTGCAAAGTACAGGCTCTCTCTGCGACAACCCGACCTGCCACGTTTCCCCCACGGCCCGTGGTTCGGCCGTGGCTCAGCTCGGGAGCGCAGCTCGCCGGGGGGCTGGAGGCCTTCACTGGCAGGCGGCGTGGCCAAAGACCCCGAGAAGCCACCTGGGGCCCTCTCCGCCCAAAGCAAGGGCTGTGCATTGTGCCATAGCCCTTTCCCTACGTAAAGGCTAAGCAAGACTCCAGTCCTCATGACTCTGAAAAAAGGGCTGCTTTCAATCGGAGCAAAGAGGCTGACAAGTTGTGTCGGCCCCCCAGTCTGTCTTTCGATGGAGGTGACCGGCAGCCGTGGTGCTCCAGGAGCCTGGAGGGCCTTCCCAGCCCAGGACAGCGGCCCAACCCGCAGCGGCATCGCAGCTGGCCGAGGGAGGGACCGGCACCCACCCGCGGCGCCTTGGGGAGAGGCCCGTGTGCCCCCGGAGCACCCCACAGAAGCCCGGCCCACCCTTTCCCGTGCTAACCCAGGGCTCCTCCGGCATGGACGCCAGTCCGCGCATCCGGCCACTGCTGCACAGGGCCAATCGTCCCCTGCACAGGGTGGGAGCTGCACCCCGAGCCAGCTTGTCCAGCTGCAGCCACGCCGGGTGCCGCGGCCCTCTTCCCCTCCCCGAACGCTCATCTGAGCAGCCCAAGTCTCTTCTGCAGCCTCCTTTCCCTCCAGTTTCCACACCGGCACGCCCAAAGTGGCGGCCACAGGCCACTCTTTGGCTGCGTCCACGGAGAACCGAGCCCCAGCAGCCCCTGCAAGGCCGGCTCGGGGTGCAGGGACCTGCTCCCAAGGGGACAACCGAGAGGGAGGCTGGACAGCCTGGCGGAGACCCGAGCCACGCCACACCAAGCCCTGTCCCGAACGGAAACCCGTTCGCCTTCCGAGTCCACCCTTTCCCGAATCTGGCAGCAGAGTTCTCCACTCCACAGAGTTCAGTGCCGGGGAAAGAGCGCACACAAAATTGTGGATTTTTGCGAGGAAGATGCTGGGAAAATCCATTCCAAACTGCACCCTTTCGACTGATGTATCGGAGCAAAAGCGAAGCGACGCAAGCAAATATTTGAAAAGCTGCTCAGAGGTCAAGAAATGGAAGTTGACACTACAAAACCCCATGTTTGCAAGGACTCGTGTGAGATGGGAGAGGCTGGAAGAATGCCGATTCCTCCTGTTTGGAAAAATGAGGGTTTTGCAACAAGCTGCGAAAAGATCGGCTATTTTTAAAAACAAACAGGGCATCGTCCTAGACGGATGGTAACCAGCAACGGGAGGGGTGAATATTTGTACTATGTGGTTCTGTATGTGTCTACTCAGAAGTAAGGCTCATTACGTTCCCCCGCCTCACTCCCATGCTAAATGAGGATCAGCTTTCGTCCCAAAAGCTGAATAAAGAGATTTAGGGATTCCATTCACTATGTAAATAACCTTCTGTCCTTTTGCTCTCAATCGGTTACGCTTTTCGCTCTCTACTCTCTGTTTGAGGATTGCAATTATACGTTTTCGCCGTCTTTGTGAGATAAAGTTAAAAGGGGAGTGAATGATTTTGCTAACCGTTCTTCCGCTTAATACGCTCCGTTCCGATTTGGGTCGCTTTTTTGACTGCGTGATATTCGGGTGCTTCTCAACTGAAACGGCCCGTCAGGGGGTGGCAAAATCCAATTTGCCGGCATGCTGCCCGTGCTAGGAAACTTTTATTTTTTTTAAGAGGGGAACTGCGAAGAAGGATGCCCCCCAATTGCTTTTCGGGGGTTTGCACAGAAGAAAAGGCGGCTTAGTGTGGTGCGCACGCTCCCGTGAAAACCTCTCTGCCGCCCCTCGGCCGAGGCCGGGCCGCTCGGCTTCTCCGCCTCCCCCCAGCGAGACCCCTTTGCCCACGGGAATTCAGCCGAGGGCCACGTGGACGGAGGCAGGGGCCGCCGAGGGCCACCAGGTGCCTTCCTTGTGCTCACTGACCCACTCGCAAAGCACGGTCAAGATGCAGTGGATGCAAGGTATATTTTTATATGCAGAGCTCGGTTTCGGGCGGGTGCGTGATCCGCTCGTCGGCCGGCGGGAGGCGGGAGCAGGTGCTGAGCATCCGTACGGGCCCCGGCGGCCTCCGGGAGCCGTGGGCGCTCGGGCAGGGCTGGGGTCCCGCCGTTGGGCCGTTCTGGGAGGAGCGGGGCTCGTCTGGCGGGGCAAAGGCCGCGGTTGGTCTCGGGAGGCACGAACTGGGCTGGAGCGACGCCCCGCCATGGCAGCGGGGGGCTCAGACCAGAGCAATGGGCTTGGAGCCCGGATTATTCAGGTAGGGGGGGGACCCCGTTTCCAGCTCCACGAAGGCGGAGTACAGCGTGGCGAGGTGGATGTTGGGCAGGGAGGGGTGCTGGGAGCCGCCGGGGGCCCCATCGGGATCCTCCTCCGTCCGGCACGGGCTGGGGAAGCACGGGGGCGGTCCGGGGGCAGGGGGCATGAGGGCCAGCGGGTCCATCGCCAGGCTGTCGTCCTTCAGCTCTTCCCAGAGGTTTCCTGCAAGGAGACACAGCGGGACTCAGCACCGGGCCCGGGTGCTCCCCCCGCCTCGTCCTCCTCACGGCCACACCGCTTGCCGGCCGGGCCCTCGGCCGGCCGGGGCTGCCCATGCCGAGCCGAGCCACCATCCCGGGAGGCTCCCGGCGGCCCCGCACCGGGTGAGCGGCGTACCTTGCAGGTCGAAATCCGTGAGCGACGGGTTCAGGGCGTCGATGTCGTTGCTGAGGTCGCCTTCCGGGAGCAGCACCTCCTGCATGGCGCGGGGAGCCGGCAGCCTCTTCATGCCGCGCCCCGGGGGCGTCTGGGCAGGCAGCGGGGAGTCGTGGCCCGGGCAGCCGCTCTGTGCCTCCACGGCGGGGAAAGGGCCGGGCGAGGCGCCGGGCAGCTGCGGCGGGAAGGCGGGCGGCGCGGGCGGGAAGCCCGGGGGGGCCGCCTGGCAACCGGGCGCCCGCGGCTCCCCCAGCATGCCGGGCAGCGAGTGCCTGGCCGGCAAGGGTCCTTGGGCGGGAGCCACGGGCGTCGTGCCAGGGGAGGCGGGCGGCTCGCGCAGGCGGTGGTGCTGCAGGGCCCCCGGCCGGGGGCCTGTGGGGGCCGCCACCCCCAGCATGGAGGGCCGCAGCGCTTCCGTCTTCTCCCCTATCAGGGTGTCAAGTTCTTCTGTGCGAACGAGAGGGAGGGAGGGAGGGAGGAACCCCGGATCGGGTCAGAGTCCAGCGTCCTGGGTGTCCCAACAGCCAGAAGCCAAGCAGCGCCCCCGTGCTCACAACAGCCGGGCCCCCCTCCTGGCTGCTCTGCCCCCGAGGCTCCAGCCGAGGGATTCCATTTTGCAGCAAGCCCACCAGAGAAAAAGCGCGCCTGCCGCTTCAGAGCCGGCTCGGCGGCCACCCACCTGGCTTGGCCATGCTTTTCCGGACGGCGATGGGGTCCTTCCTCTTCCATTTCTGCAGCTCCTCCTGCATCTTGTCGATCTTGGCCGGGTTCAGGGCCCACAAGCAGCCTTTCCTGGATGAGCTGCCGGACTTGTTCTCCACCTTCTCAAAGCACTTGTTGAGCGAGAGGTTGTGGCGGACGGAATTCTTCCAGCCGTCCGGAGCGGTCTAGAAAGACGGACAAACGGCGACACCCTCAAGGGGCTGCGGACGCGAGACCCTTCGAGTCATTTCCGTAACGTGTGGTTCATTGTGACATTTCAAGGAAAGCGAGATGTTTAAAAGGAAAGAAATGCAGGAGAGAGGAGCGAAAAGCAACATGCAGCCGAAGATTGCATATACCGATCAAGTGAGGAAGCTTCTCCTGATGTCCAGCCTATGTCTGGGTTGCCGCAACTTGAATTGATGATTCCGCGTCCTGCACTCTGCTATCAGCAAGAAGAGATCTTGACCTTCCTCTCTGTGAGAGCCTTTGAGGTCCTTATAGAGGGAGATCATGCCCCCCTCAGTCTTCTCTTCTCAAGGTTGAACAGGCCCAGTTCTCCCAGTCTCTCTTCACAGGGCAGCATTTCCAAACTCTGGGTCATTTTGGTTGCCCTCCGCTGGACCCCTTCTAATTTCCCTGCATCTTTCTTAAATCTTGGTGCCCAGAACTGGACACAGGACTCCAGGCGAGGTCTGACTAGTGAGGAGTACAGAGGAACAACTACTCCTCATGATTTGGAAGTCATACTTCTGTTAATGCGTCCCAAAATAGCATTTGCCCTTTTGGCGGCCGCATCACCTTGTTGGCTCGTGTTTCGCCTGTTGTCCACAATTACTCCGAGATCTTTTTCTTGTTCAGTTCTGTGGAGTGTTCTTTCTTTTCCTAATGCAATGCCCGTCATTCAGGATCCAACCTCGTGGCTTTCAAATGTCCCCTGCCCAAGCCAGCATTGCTAGCTCCGTGCTGGAGCCCCCTCCAAGGTCGCAAGCGGGCTGCAGAGAGCAGGAGGGGCGTGCCAGGAGGGGACGGGGGCTGCCGGGGCTGACGGCGCATGCCCTGTCTCCCCCCACGCCCCCAGCACCATCCCAATTCCCACAAGCAAGCTGCAAAGCTTACACGCAACCAGGACAGAAATATCAGCATTCGCACCCAAGTGTCCAAAGGGCACAAGCGATCCATTGATCCACGCCATGTATCGGTTTCCGCGAAGCAAAATAAAACCCTTTGATTTAATCGCCATTTTAAAAATGACTATTTTAACATTTTAACAGTCGCTTTGATTTTGATGCGGATTTGTATTGTCACTATGTTGTTTAGGTATATAGTTGTGGTGGTTTTTACTGTATTTTGACTTTAAGGGGTGTAAGCCGCCCTGAGATGCCACGCACAAAGGGCGGCATACGAAAGTTTTAAAAAGGATAAATAAATGACACGGTCCCGGTACTAAGTTAGCCACGTAATAACCTCCTCCCAAAAGACACAACACCTGGACGCGGCCAGAACTTGTGCCGAAGAGCGAGCGGCCTTGGAGGCCTCGCACAGCAGCACTTAGTCAAACTGGGCATCAAAGATGCGGAGAAGAACGAAGGGGGAAGCCAACGCAGTGGGAGCCGAAGAAGACAACGCGCAGCGACACAAACGCTGGGAAATGGGCCCTCTGTGGGCAGCGGCCGGCCTGGTTCACGCCGTGATTCACGAGCGGAGTAAGCCGGGCGTTTACGAGCGGTTGCGATTTTTTATATCTAGGATGGTGCGTGAGTTGTAAGACATACACAGACCGTGACTGGGGAACCTGGAATTCTCAGCTGGAAAGTCATCAGCCGGAAGGAAGGCCCCAAATCCCAGGCTGGGACACACACGCCGTGAGCAGGGCACCTGCCCATCCCAAGAGCTCCGAGGGGCTATTTACTGATTTCTTATACTTCGAGCCCTCCTTTTCCCCCAGAAAGAACTAAAAACAGTGTGTGTACTTCTCCTCTGCCTTCTCCTTTCTGCTTTAGCAAAGTGCAAACCAGGAGGCTGTTTTGAGCTGGAACACTACCTGATAATTACCCCATAAAAAGGCCCCTTCATGCGCCTGCTGGTTAATGAGACGAGATCGGCCTCTCCCACGCCTTGGGCTCATCGCTCCCGCAGCAAGGAAGAGGGGAAAGGGTCCCACGGCTAGCAAGGGAGCCGGCCCCGAATCTCCGAGGGGCTGGACGCTCTGGGAAGAGAGCGCTGCGCGAGGAGCCCGTCCCAGGCTGGCAGGGCCCCGCTCCCCCCGACGGCCACCCGTTCGGGGAGCCCCAGGCTGGGACACGCGGGAAAGAGCCCCTTCCCAAAGAGGCCTTCTGGGCGGGATCGAACACGCCACCGCCCCATGGGGAACACGCGAGCCCTGAGCAGGTAAATTCCACGCTTGTGCAAATTGACAGGGACGCGAGCTGCCCCGAACAGGAGAGCCAGGCCCTTGCAGCGACCTCGAGAGCCAGCTGCGCGGCTGTGCACCTGCCGGAAGCTGGAGAGAGGGGCGCATCTTGTCCGTGCAACCCTCCACGGCTGACCTCAGAAGGCCCCCGGAGCTCCCACCTAGTTTTGGGCTCTTCCAGGAACCCGCCGTGGATTCGCGGAAGCCCGTGCGGACTGGAGGCCCGCCTGGGATCCGGACCCTGCAGCCCCCCACCAGCCGAAGCCAAGCCCGGCCTTCTGCTGGGGCAGTTCGAAGCAGCAGCCCCCAAATCTGTTCGAGCGCGAGGTCGGTCTCTGGCACGAGACGCGCTCCTTGTGGCCGGTGTGAGCCGGGCAAACATCCGTCTCCTGAATTTCAGGAATGGTGCTTATGTCTGCATTTGTGTGACCACAACGGTGCTTTTGCTGAACATCTAATTACATTTCTAATTATTTTCTGCGCTCGCTGGTCTTCTCTGGAACTCATCCGGTTCTGCAGCTTGCGCTCTGCCGTCCCTGCCTGGCTCTGCCTCAGCTGCCGAGCGGGCGGCCGGAATCCGCTCCTAGTGGAGCCGGCCCACTGAAACCCTCCGAGATTCCAGCACCTCGGAACAGGCTGGAGTCCATGGGTTTAAATGGGCCTACTCTGAGCAGGGCCCAGTGAGACTGAAGCAGTGGCTGCGGCGAGAAATGAGCCGGGGTGGGAAAAAGCCAGGCAAGGCATCCCGTCTCTGAAAAGCTCTGGGCTTCGCCAGCAAAAAGAGGTGGAATCGCCAGGGTTAAAGCACCAATGAGGGAAATACACGCCTGGCTTCCTTCTGCCCCAGCACCTTCCCAAGGCGGGGGAACGACCCAAGGGCTGCTCACGGGGCAAAGGGTTGTGGCTATCCGGGGAGTCCCGAGGGCCTCGTTCACTCTGGGGCCCGAGGGTTTGCACCTGGGGCACATGGGCAGCAACCTCCCCACTGAGGACGGAACTGGGACCGTCTTCAGCCCAAGCGGAGGCTCCAGGCCTTGTCCGACTGCCTTTCCCACTAAGCACGATTCTAGTCCTCATTGTTCCCAGCACGGGGTCTCCCTCTGTACACCTTTGGGCACTTCCTCCTCTTTGCAGGAGGAGGTGGCACCAGGAGACGAGAAGGCTGGCAGGGCCGTTCCACGTGCCAAAACATCCTGCGCCCCCTTCTCTCCCCACCTCCTGGTGCACCGCGTCGTTTCCCATGGGCTGCCCCGTTTCTGTGACTGCACCAAAGATGTCTTAGCTGCCTTTTCAGGGCGGGTAGGACACAATTAAGCCAAATAAGTGATGAATTGCAGGCTAAAACACAGGGCCGGAGCCCCCCCCCCCAGCCCCCATGGCCTCTCCCTTAGCTGTGTCACCCCGCTGTCCTTCCACAAGAAAAAGTGTGTGACGGGGGGAACCCGGCACCCCTCAAGCGAGCCCGGCATGTTCTCCGGGCACACGCTCCCAGCGAAAGCAGAGGACTCGGCAGCTGGCAGATCCGTAACTAACATTTATCCCTGTGCCAGGTGCCAGCCCCTTGATCTCTCGAAAGTTACGGGATCTTGCGATTGCGACACTCTCTCGTTGTTAAATCTACCTCTAAGGAGAGGGGAGAGGTACTTCAAAGCAGGAATTCTTCCTTGCTGTGCACAATGCACCCCCACCCTTCTCTGAGGACGTAGGAGTCAGATTGTAATATTCCAGCAAAGCAGCCGGTTGCATCATCAAAGCTGCCTTTGCAGCGCAGTTAATTGGCCGGCTCGTTTCATCCCAGTGTTTTCTTTGCCTCCATGATGGCTGCCCTGGATGAGTGTTTTTCTTTCCCCTTCCTGTCCCAGTTAAAGTCTCCTCCACCCTTGCTCTGGAAGTGAACACCACGTCCTCTCCCGACTGCGCTCCCTCCACAAGCCGTTTGGGTGGAAAACACGCGGGAAGACGGAGGAGGGTGAGGCCGGCCGGCCGGTGGAAAGGGCGCCGAAGCAGCACTTAAATCGGAGCAAACGCAGAAGCCTTTTGCCAGCCCGAGTTGCAAAAAGGGGCAAACGGCTCGCCAGACAGAATAAGCAGCAACGATTCAACCAGCCGATGCCCCGCCAAGGATCTCGGGGGCTTTGTGGAAGAGGATGGAGGGGCCTTTCCCGGCCCGGCTGCACGGGCACAGCAGAAGCTGCCCCTCTGTCCCCGGAGAGTCCCGGCAGGCATGCCGTGGCCCCTGCTCTGGGCCCCACAATCTCCCGGGAGGACTGGGAAGGGCCCCGCTGCATGACCCCTAAGAGCAAGTGCCACTTGGCCCTGCTCGAGGTGGAGAGCTGGTCCAAACGGGCAGGAGGCAACTTCTCCTGTCGTGATTCAGAAGCATGAGGACTGGAATCTTACTAAATTTTTAAGGCTCCGTGGCGGAGCTGCGTTTCCCATGCAGGGAAGGGGACAGATCCATGGAGCGGGCAGGCCGCGCGGGAGCAGAAGGGGCCACAAAACAGGGCCGGACTCCGGCTGCACGAACAATTCCAACCTGCCACTCGCAATATCCCGCTTGCACAAAACTCCGCTTCATGGCGTGTGGTTGCATGTTAAAAGCAAGTTCTTATTTCCTTAAGCCAGGAGCTAAGCAGAGCTTAGTTGAACACTGTGGCGGGCATTAAAAGCCGGGCTCGGCACGGTCCGCCATCGCACGGCAGCGCAGCCACGCGGTTCGGCCCTCCTCCTTGCGGAAGCGAGTTTCTGGCCCTCCGCGTCGCTGCGAGTGAGCGCACGCGTGTGTACCTACGGCAAAGCGGAGCGGAAGGATCTTGGCACGGCCGCCAGGGCCTCGCCTCGCCTCCACCCAGGGCTCGGAGTAAATAAGCAGCCAGCGAGCGCCCGTGGCCCAATTCAAGGCGCTCCTCCCTGTGCTTCGGTCTTTTTCCTTCCCTTGGCATGGAAAGGGGCTTGAGGGCAGGAGCCGACACCCAGCCGGGGGACGGCAGGGAAGGCCGCAGCGGGTTAGGAGCACTGCGGCTCCTCTGGGTTGAGCTGCCGCTTCTGCAGCGGGTCGGCTCTTCCCAGCTCCCCAGATTCTGTGGGGCTGCAGGCGTGCGTTTATTTCCCAGGCGCGTGAGCCGAACTAGCCGCTCGGACGCGCAGCATGTTTAGAAACCTGGCCCAAATCTGCGGCGCTCGACACACAGCCCAGTAGCAGGAGGCGCACAGTACAAGCGACAGACCGGGCTCCGTTGCCGGCTTACCTTGAAGTAGGGGAAATGTTCAGTCATGAAATTGTAGATCTCGCTGACGGGAAGGCTTCCGGTTTTGCTGTTCTTGAGCGCCATGAAGATGAGGATGCTTGGAGAAGCAGACAAGGCAAAGGGGGTTAAGAAGGGACCGGCGTTCTCCACCCTTTGCCTGCTTCACAGCTTCCGTTACAGGGGACAGCAGTGGAAAGTCTGGCAGGGGTGAGCGCCCCACACGGACATCCTCCCCAAAGCCAGCGAGCCGCCCAAGCTCCCGCCTAGGCACCGCCAATGAAGAAGGGCCACCGCCTCCCAAGGAAGCCTCTTTCAGGGCCCAGCACCCTGCACGGAAGGTCGTTCCTCCCATGGGTAGCCCAGGTCGGCTTCCCCGGCCAGCCCCCTCCCCGGTTTCGTGCTAGTCTCCCAGGCGTCAGGGCACCGGCCTGCCTCCTCCTCCGTGTCCACCTCTGCGCTCCCTAAAGTGGCATTCTCCTAACAACACAGATCATTTATCTGCGGTTTCTGCCCTTCGTTTTGTTTCTTCCTGCCTACAGCACCCAAAAGCCAAAACACTCCAGACGGCTGATAAAGATTAAAAGCCTAAAAACACAGGAGGACAACATGAAAACTTTTGCCTACAGATGGAAAGCGGTTCTGTTCCGGCCACTAGAACAACACCAGGGCCCATGACAAATCTCCCAGCCCAGGGAGCGGGGGGAATCGAAAGATGGCACCCACGGCCTCTTCGGGAAGAGACGGCCCTTGTCGCCATCCCTCAAAACTCCCTCCGAAGAAGCAGCAGGAAAGGGCGATGTCTCCGGCCAGCTGGCAGAAGCTGCGATGCCGTTTCAGGAGTTTCTTGGCACCTTGTGCTGAGGAATTTAGGTCAGCCAGAAGAGATCTCTTAGGGGAAAAGGCAGGGGATGCGGAGGGATTTACCTGTACGAGTAGATGGGCTTTGGAAACAGCGGCTGAGGGTATTCCTGGGTGCTCTGGGGACCGAGCCGTTGGTAGGGGAAGGGGGATGCCGAAATGTAGCCGAAGGGGTGGCCGCTTCCCATGGGATACTGGCGATGCAAGCACAGGGGGAGGAGGCGGTTAGAGGGGGGAAAGGGGTGGGCAGAGGCCCCGGGGCAACCTGGCCTTCTAGTCGCAAGTATCCCATCCGAGTTCCCAGCTCCTCCAGGGCCGGCCGAGGGGCTGCGTGTCGGCCGCTTGGCTGGGAAGCGGGGAGGTGGCCGCCGAGGGCATGATCCAGCTGCGAGCGCGAGCAGGGCAGCAGCGCAGGCCCCTGCCCGACTGGGCCTCCCTCCGAGGCCCCCGGGCCGCCCCGGGCTAATCGCCACGTCCACATCCCGGCAAAGTGCTCCAGGCGCCCCTCCTCCTCCTCCTCCTCTCCTTGCTCGGCTCCACTACACCCCTGCGGAGGAGGCCAGGCTGGCACGGAGCCAGGACGGCCCGCAAGCAGCCAGAGCGAGGCCCAGGGCCCAGGGCTCGCCCCCACGCCGCGCTCCAAGGGGGTGCCGTGACCCACCCAGTGCCCACCTGCCCTCGGGAGAGCCAACCGCCAGCCTGGGGGACCCCGTGGACCGGCCGGCCACGGGCACCAGGGCCAAAGGCTGGGCCCGGCTTCAGCAATGCCTCTGCCCTGGGCAGCGGAGTCACTTCCAGGGAGGCCCCGGGGCTGCCAGCCCGGCCCTGCCCAGCGCTGGCACTGTAATTTGGATTTTATGGGATTCAGCCTCTCCTTGGAAGTCGGGAAGGAGCAGGCGGCAACAGCAGGGTGTTCCGGGAGCTATTTCTGTTTTATTGAGTTTCAGTGCTCATCTTCTTTTTAAGGAGGATGGGGATGGTCGGGTCGGGAGGACGGGTTCCCGCAGGCTTTACGAGGCCGGCCCGGCACAAAAGCAGCCCTTGTCCTGCCCGCAACCAGGTCAGTGAGTCACCCTCCCCTTGCCAGGCCACAGGCGAAGCCGGTCGGAGCCAGAGAGGCCACCCGGCCCTGGCACAGGGCACCCGGGCAGGCAGGCGGCCCCGGGGGCAGGGGCACGATCCGTGGTCCAGCTGCTAGGCCCCTGCCGGCCGAGGGCCGATGCCGCGTGGGAGCCCCGGCCAGGACGCCGGCGGGCCGAGCGCACCTCACCTGATGGAAGGGGTGCGACGGGCAGTACACCTGCGGCACGGGCGCGCGGTAGCCGTAGAGGGCCGGGGGCTCCTCCAGCGGGGGTGTCTTCAGCTTGACGTGCGCGTCCTGGGGGGAGCAGAGGAGGGGGTTGGGGCCGGCCAGGGTGGCCTGCACCATCCGCCCCGAGCCGAGCCGAGCCGAGCCGCCCCTGCCCAGGCACCAAAGGCGGCAGAAAGGCAAGCGACGGCCGGGGGCCCCCCGGTGCAGCCCCCTGCTCACGCAGGGACCAGGGCTGCAAGGCGGGGATCCGGGCCTGGTTAGGGGCCGGCCCGGCCGGGACCCCCGTCTGCTGAGGGGGGGAACCCGCGAGTACAAGAGAGCGCGCCTCACCAGCACCTGCGCGGGGGGCTCTGGCCCCTGCCCGTCGAACGGGAGGCCCGTGCACCAGGCGGCCATGTGCAGCGGGTACATCTCCACCTCCGCGGGCGCCGCCGGCCCGACCATCTCCGCGAAGTCGCCCGCGCCGGCCACCTTGAAGGGGTGCCCCTCCCCGGGCAGGTGGGGCTCGGGGAAGGCCTCCTCAGCCAGGCGCCTCTTGTAGGGGTGGAAGGGCGCCCGCAGGCTGTCCCGGAGGGGCCTGCCGTCCTCGTAGCTGAGCCGCCGGAACGTCTCCCCGCCCCGGTAGGCAGCCTTCTCGGCGTGCAGAGCCTGGCCGGCGGGAACCCTTCTGTAGCTGGGGTCCAGGGGCGGCGAGGAGGGGCTGGAGCTTTGCGAGGACTCGGAGGTCGTCCGGGCCGCCCTGCCGTCTCCATCGTAGGACGCGCAGCAAAAGCTGGGGCTTTCCTGCAAGCGACCCACAGCCGTCAGGTTGGGGGGGCGACTGCAGGGCCAGCCCTTCTGGGAGCGGCATCCGCCCCGAGCTTTCCCGTTTCGCCAAGCAGAACCGCCAAAGGGCCCGGAAGGAGGCAGGCTCGCGGGGAGAGGGGCCCGGTTGCCACCCCAGCCCGGCCTCATAAGGGCTTCTGGAGCAGGCCGGGTTGGGGGTCCCTGCAGCCCAGCTCCCACCGCAGGCAGGCCGAGGGCCAGCGCCTCCCCCCCCCCGCCACCAGCTCCAAGCATCTTGCCCAGCCCACCCGGAGGGGAGAGGGTGGAACAGAGGTGCGCCAGCGGCAGCAAAGCCCAGCTCACCTGTGGAACGGGGCCCCCGGAGTCGTCCCGGGTCTGCATGTGGCAGCCGCAGGGGCTGCTTCCCAGGGCGTCCGAAGAGGGAAACTCGGTGCTGGCTGGATCTTGGCGCAGCGACACCATCGCCCGAGCCGGCCCGGAGCCCTGCGGAGACAGAGGGAAGCCGGAGTGGGCCAGGGGCCGGGGCAGAGGGGTGAGGGGCAGGCCCGCCTGCCCAGAGGGGGCGGCCGGGGAGCCACTCCGGGGCCAGGCCCCCATCCCGAAGGCGGGGTGCCTGCTGCGGCCCGCGTGCCCCGCCTCTGCTTCGAGGCCTTCGCGTCTCTTCTCTTCCGGAAGGCAGACCCCAAAACGCCTTCCTCCAGGAGGACCGAACCCAGGGACTCGCTGCATGCGGCTCCTCAGGAACACTGCAGCCTCCAGTCAAAACTGGAAATTCAGCCCTAAATTACAGTGGAAATTATCCCAACAAGCCGAGCATTAACTTCCTGTTGCCGGATCCCTGCGGGGCCCACGCAACAGAGGTCCGGCCTGCTCCCGGGGGGCAGAGGTGGCACTGCCAGCCTTCCGGGAGGGTGGAGGGAAGTCCCCTGTTTGACCCCGCCACACATCCTGGGGAAATTCGCGCCTGGAGCGCCCCAAGCCGGTCCTGCCGTGAAGGAGGCCTCCGAGCAGCAGCTTTGGGCTCGCTGGGAGAAGCATCTCGGCAGGACGGTGACTCTAGAGGCAGGGCGCAGCTGTCCCTCACCGGAGGCTGGGAGCGAGGGCTGAGCGCCGCCTGGCAGGTGGGTTGGGCCTGGTGGGGGCCCGGGCCCCTTTCAGTTCAGCGTGTCGTGATGCAGACACGGGGCAGCTCTCCTGGACCCACAACCGGCTCGGTTCCTCCGGCTCCCACACCGGAAACACCCCACTTGAGTGGCCGGGAAGCCCGGCGCCCGTGCACAACACCTGCCCAGGTAGATCTCGCCCTCTCTGAGCTTGGTTTCCGCCTGCGGCAGCCCCCAAAACTTCCTTCGGGGAGAGGCAGCCTGGCGTCCGTGGTCTGTGGCGCTCGGTCGTGGCACCTTCCCTTTCTTATCGCACGAAACTATTTCGACAGCTCCCTCCCTGCAAACCAAGCGCCCAGAGAAAGCTTCCAAATTCCCTGCGGAAAACCCCGCAGTGCCGCCCTGGGAGAGGCGGAGCGCGTGCCCGGATCCGGGAGCCGTCCAGGCCGCCGCCGGTGCCCAGGGTGCCCGAGGGGTGAAGGGGCGCGAGGCATGGAGGGGCGCAGTGGCCGCCGGAGCGGTCCCGGCACGGTCCTCGCCGCCGAGTGGCGCCTCCCCACACGCTCTGCGCCCAAAGAGCCAGCCCCGGGTTCAAGGACGAGCGTTTGATGCCGCACTGTTCAAAAAGGCCCCCGAATGCTCAACTGTCATTTCTGCACTTCAAAGTGGGGGGAAAATTGATGTTCTGTGAAGTTGTGCAGAAATGTTCACCGCCCAGGGGGGTTAAGCTGTGCAGGGAAGAAAGAAAACGGCGTGGAAGCCCAGGAGGGGCTTGGGGGGGCGCATTCCAGGCAGGGGGAGTCCGCAGGTGGCTCTTGGGAGGAAGGGGTGCCGGCAGCCCCGCTCCCCTTGCCAAAGCGAGGGGGGAGGGCCCTGTGCGGGTCCCCCCCTTTCCACGTTTCAAGGCCGAGACTGCAGGACGCACGGCACCAACCACCCCCCGTTTGGAAACGCCGCGAGTCGTGCGGGGACCGTCATCACCGGTCGGCTGACTCTGGGAAACAGAGAGGAGATGCGCCCCCGGGCATACGTGGGCACTCGGCTCCCCATGGGGGTGCTCTTTCTTGCCATGGGGTCGCCCCACAGTGGACGGCGGGTGGGCCAGGGGAGGGGAAGGGGCGACCATCACGGAGCTCCTGAGATTGGCTACTGTGAGGTGTCGGGGTTGCTCCGAGCTGAATAGATTTGCAAAAGCTTGCAGGGAGAGGCCGGCCGTGGCAGCTAGTCATGGGAGCTGCTGATTCATCCCGAGGCATGCCAGCGGCTGTGGAAGATGGGCAGGGGGGTGCCTTGGCCCTCGTCCCCGGCTTGCATGCATCCCTGGTTAGCCACTGAGGGAAACAGACGCCAGAGCACAGAGGCCCTTCGGTCGAATCCTGCACCGGCTCGCTCTGTCGCCTCCAAAGCAGCCACGGGCTCTTGTCCTCGTGCCGGGGTGAGTTGGGGCCCCTTCAGCGATGCCGGAACGGAGAAAAAGGCATTGGCTTTGCCCCAAAGAGGCAAAAGGCGACACCGAGTCACGTCGTGGGGGCTTGAGAGACTCAAAGCTGGCAGGGCCAACTTAGGCAGGGCAGCGATTGGTGCAGCGGAAATTCAAGACCGCTTGCGAGCCGCCCGGACGAGCGGCGTGCGTGCCGAGCCGGCTGTCCGGATGCCAAATGTTGACAGGCGATTCCGAGGCCTCTGCTCCCTCCCGCCCTTTGACTTCCACCAGACACGAACTCAACAGCACGTCAAATAGAGGACTGCTGCAGGCAGAGGACGCTCCTCGGTGGAGCAGAACACCTGGCCAACCGCCCATGACGATCCTTGATCTTTACACACTGATCAAGCTGCGAAAAGAGGACCGTGCCTGGCCAGCTGTCCCAAATGGGGGCCTGTCCTTCGCCGAATGGGGCGCCCCGCCAGCCTCGCAGCAGGCCGCGCACCCCAGGACTGATGGCAGGGTGCGAAAGGCGCTCCTGCTTCCAGGCCCCATCGGGGTCCCCCGGATCCGGCTGCCTCGGCCTTGCCTGGCTGTGCGAGTCCTTCCAAGAGGGGGCAGGCACCGATCCAGACACGCTGCTGCTCAGCAGGGCTGTGGCGCTCGGCACGCGCTGCCCCCCGCCCGAGCAAGGGGGCCGCAGCCCCCCCCCAGGACGCGCTGGGCCCCCGTGCCTCGCTTGCAGTCACGGATGCTGATGCCCCATGGTGTGCTCCTCTGCGTGGCGGAAGCAGCCACGGCTCATTGAGTTCCCAGGAGAGCGCCGCCAAGGCTGAGCTCACCCGGAGGCGAACAATGGCCCCTTTGAAGGGGGCCGGTCTCCCCACGCGCTTCTCCAAGCCCCCGTGTCCCCGCGGCTTGCTGCCGGGGATGCGTGACCGTCCTCGCTTTCCCGAAAGGTCGCTCTCCCTCGCTTTTGGCCTCTTCCGAGGCGGCCAGTGGGGCGGCCGAGGTTGGCATCGCGGCCACACCCCGGCACGGGGTCGCCAGGACCCCGGGGGTCCGCCCCGTCCCTGCCGGAGCCGGGGGCTCGCTCGCCCGCCCGTGGCCCCAGGGCTGAGCTCCGCAGCCAGGTGCTGCTCCCCTCCACCCCCCCCCCACGTCCCCAGGGGCTGAGCTCAGCTTTCACGGGAGGGAGGGAGGCGTGTCTGGATGCTCCCCAATTCGTCACTCACGCTCCACGCTCCAGGCCCGAGGGAGCGGCGTGATCCCAGTTTGACACCGGCTTGTGTGATCTTTCCCTCCCCTCCCCTTCCCCACAGCACTGACTCTTCTCTGCCCCCCCACCGCCTGCCTTCCATGCGCTCGGATGGATGCCTCTCCGAGCAAGAAAGACGCCAGCACTTGCGCCCGTGGCAGAGCGGGGGGTTCAAGTTAACCGTGCAGGGTTCGCCAGGCACGACGGGGTCAAGCGCGGGTTGCGGGTGCACCATGGGCCGCGCCATGTGAGCCCGGCCGCGCCAAACCGAGCCGGGCCATGACTCACGAGCAGCCCGTGCCCTCTTCCCGGCTTGGGGAACCTCGCTGGCTCGAGGGAACGAAGGGTGGCTCGTTCGTGCCACTGGGCTCACAGGCCACGTGGCGCAGCAGCCGCCTCCCGAGCCACAGCGAACGCTCTGGGTTTCGGCCCTCTCTGCCAGGGCTCGCCTGGGAGGCTGCGGCTTGTTTGCCCTGCCCCTGCGGAGCCGGGGGGGGGGCTCAGCCCCCCAAAAGGGTGCTCTGGGGGAGGCTCCCCCGGTGCGCCAGGGCCTGACTCAGAGCCGGGGGGCAGGGGCTGCCAGGACGCTTGGAGGGGGGCACGAATGCCTCCGGCTTTCCAGGGAGCCGCTCCGAGCGGCTGCCCGGCCTCCCCGAATCCCAGCCACGCGGACCGCAGTTCCCATCTCAAGGGCCGTCCTCCCGGCACCGCTCCAAGCAAGGCCGGGAGGAGAGAAGGGGACTTCTGGGCGCCGGCCCCCAATTTGGGGTGCTCTCCCCATGGAGGCCCACCAGGCGCCAGCCGGCGCTGCCACCTCGCGATCTCCGGGGCGTCCGCTCAGCTGGCGGGGCAGGACGAGGCATCCAGCAGACCCCAAACGGTGCTCGTGCACCGGCCAGACCTGCTTCTCGAGATGTGCCTCTCCGTCCGTCCGTCACGCCTTCATGCGCAAGCCAGTTTATCTCCCGATCACGTCTTTCTAATGTTTTAATCTTTGCAAAGCACCTCAAGGTGGCACAGAAACATCATAATCGGCTCGTTCCCACAAATGACAGCCCTGCAAGGGAGGCCCAGCCCGCCGGGCAGGCACGCTGCCCGGGTGCCCGACGTAGGCGGCACATGCCTCCCACCCTCCCTGGGAAGTTCCAGCCGTCAAAACTCGACATTCCTATTTCCCCGGAGCCAGTGCGGCCTAGTGGTTAGAGCAATGCGCTGCCACTCGGGAGACGCTGCTGCAAGCCCTGCCCTGCTTCTGCCAGGGCGCTCCTGAGGTGGCTCCAGGCCAGTTGCCGACTCAGCCTGACCTGCCTTGCAGGGTTGTTGTGGGAACTAAAAAGCAGAGGAGGCCACTAAGCCCCCCCCCCCAGCCTCTGGAAGGAAAGGTGGAGCCCACGACTCGCCAGCAGCTTCGCCAGGTTCCTTGCCTGGGTCCCCCCTGCAGGTACCAGGAGCCGGGGGGCAGGCGGTTGGCGCCCCCAGGAGCAGAGCCCCAGCCAGGCCAGGTGCTTGGCTGCTCCCTCCACCTACGTGGGAACCGGGAACGGCCCAAAGAGCTTCAGCTCGCAGGTGGTACAGAAATCTGAATATCGCTATTGCTACCGATGACGGTGCTGGGGAGGAGGATGAAGAAGAGGATGATGATGAAAGGGCACTGAGCAGGGAGGCCAGCCAGAAAGTTTCACCTGCGGCAGGGTCTGTGTGGGCAGCTGGGAGATCTGGGCGGGCAGCTTTCCGCATACCTCGGGGCCAGCTCCGCATACCATGAGGACTAGCAGCTTGCGTCCAGGCAAAGGCTGCAACTGCGTGGGCGAACAGCCTCTCAGGGGCTGGAGGTGGGGGGGCCTCTCCGCCCCAGGCAGGGCCGGCCGGACCCCCGGGGCCAAGCCAAGCCGGAGCGAGGGTCCGCCTCCTGCGATGCTGCCGGGCCGGGCCGGCGGCTGCCTGAGCTCATCCTGGGACCTTGCCACCTGTCTCCTTAACAAGGAAGGCGTGTGAGCGGTCCCACCCCGACGGCCCGGCCTGTTTTGTGCTGGGCGTGGAGCCATCGCCTCCACAACCTTCCCCATGCGCCCCACCTGGGCCCCTCCCGCCTCCCACTGGGGACTCGCCCACGGCCGGCTTTGTAATTACCTGCATTTGATCTGCGGGACGGATTTGGGGATTCTGTGCCATGATTCAGGCTGCGGGGACGGGCGGGGACGGGCGGGGAGGGAGAGCGTGTCCGCTGGAGCTGAGCTGAGCTGCTGGGAGGGAGCCCACGTGCCCATCGTCCCCAGGCTGCAGGGGCAACGGCTGGGCGCGCCGGGAAGGGACCGCCGGGCCGCACGGGAGCCCTCCTCAGCCGGCACCTTCCCAGTAGGGGGGCTCCAGCTCCCACCAGACCGAGCAGCCTGGCCCAGGCCTGCACTGATGGGAGCTGTAGTCCAAGCCCTTTGCAGGAGCCTGAGCTGCCTGTTCTTGCAGCCTTCCCCCCGGATGCTGGGGTGGCCATCGTCATGCTGGTTGGGGGGCGGGGGCCAGCGAGCCAAAACGTCTGGACCAGCTCCCATGACTCGCCATAAAATAATCCCAAGGCGGGTTCGAAAACCGGTGCAGCTGCGAAACGGCTTCTGAGGCCGAGCCGTGGAAAACGGTACCCCTGAACATGCACAGAGCGCCTCCCCTCCCTTTTGCCCCTAAAGTCAGGAAATCCAGACCCAGGCTCTGCGGGATCAGAGCGCAAAGGAGACGGAGACGGGCACGGACGTGCTTGCCGTCGTTACGGCAGGGGAGCGGACGCCAGGGGACACTTCCACGGGTCCCCACGGCAGCGTTACGGATTCGCGACCAGGCATTCCCCAGAAGCCGGCACCCAAAGGGACACCCGGCCTCGGCCCCGGCGGCCACTCCTGCGGCTGGGCCGGGAATCGCGCCGTGCCCCCCGAGTCCGCCCGACCTCCAGCGAGGGCGCTTCATCCCACGGGAGCAGAGCTCCCGACGCCCCGGGGAGCTCGGGGGGCTGGCAGGGGCACCGGCCAGATCAGGATCGGGGAAGGAACCTTCCCGGCCCAAGACCCCGGAGAGGCCCTGCCCGTCGGAGCCACGCATGCCAAGGATCCGCGCTGGAACAAGGCACCTTCCCAGCTTCCGAATGGGGAGGCCCACATTTCCCGTATCACCTTCTCCCGGTGATTCTCAGCCCGAGTCCCCCAATTCCACTGCCTGCCGACGCAAATCTCTCCCCGACTGTGAGCGTTTTCATCCGGGAACACTTCTGTGGCCGTTCCCACATGCCAAGCTGTGCGTTTTTGAAACGTGCCCCTTTTCCTCCCATGGGATCCAGCACCTTAGTGCGTCTTTTTCAAAAGGACAAATTTGTGCACTCACTTTTCGAATGCGCACACTTTTCAAGCCCCTTTTGGTTCGGGCGGTTCTGCAAAGCACACGCCGAGCTTGAAACACGGAG